CTGTCCAAGTTTGGTACAAATCCAGGATAGTTTAAGAAAGTTATTAAAATTTTAAAAACTTTAACCACAGAGTGAATGTAATGTTTCCCGGCAGAAAAACTAATCCATTTACAAGTAAAATACGGAAAAACAGGAATTTTATTTTTACAAAATTTACTTCTGGATACTATCTTATGATCATAAACAAGCTTCTGTCCAAGTTTGGTAGAAATCCAGGATAGTTTAAGAAAGTTAATAAAATTTCAAAAACTTTCACCACAGAGTGAATATTTGTGGACGCCGCCGACGACGGAATGTAGGATTGCTATGTTTCGCTTTTTCGACTAAAGTTGAAGGCTCGACAAAAATTAAACAACAATCTCTGATGACCTTATATTGAATGTTAAGTTACTAAAATCTGGTAATCCGAACCTCTCGTATGAACAAAACGTCCAGATATTTAAACATGTATACGAATTTATCAAAAGGTCCTAGACATTTCTTGTCATATGATACTGAAAAGGGTATTTGCGGTACATTCACATCATCATTACCTATTTTTCAGTTATCATTTTTGTAATCTTTTTTCAATAGCTAGACTCGTAAAGTATTGTTTATTTTGAAATATTGTATGCTCATTGTTACATTTTATTGTTATATATTGCAAGTTTCTTTATATAGATCAGAAATAATTTATGTTAGAACCAGCTTAGCCAGTATTAGAAAAGTCTTGTTTTTAGCCCCTATTTGGCCTCTAGTTTCTTAACGATTAAAGCCACAACCCACAAAATCGGCCCCAACCTCCTGTGTGTGTGGTATGGAACCTTGTGGTACAATTTCATAGAGATCCATCGACTAATACTTAAGTATTTGTCTGGAAACCAGAAAAACCTTGTTCCTCCCCCCTTTTTACCCCTTATTCCTGAACGGTTTGAGCCATAACTCCCAAAGTCAAACCCAACCTTCCCTTTGTGGTATGGAACCTTGTGTTTCAATTTCATAGAGATCCATAGACTAATAAGTAAGTGTCCATTAACCAGAAAAACCTTGTTTTCCACCCCTCTTTTTGCTTCTAATTCCTGAATGGTTTGGGCCATAACCCTTAAAGTCAATCCCAACCTTCCCTTTGTGGTATGGAACTTTGTGGTACAATATCATAGAGATCCATACACTTATACACAAGTTATTGTCCAGAAACTAGAAAATTGCCTTTTTTGGCCCCTAATTCCTAAACAGTTAGGACCATAACCCCCTTGTGTTTAAATTTCATAGAGATCCATTCACGTATACGAAAGTTATTGTCAAGAAACCAAATGTCTTCAGACGACGACGACATGATAGCAATATACGAACGCAATTTTTTTGCAGTCATATAAAAACATGACACGAAGATTTTAAGATGTAAATCGTGATTACAACTGCATTAAGTTGTTGATATATGCTCTTTTGTTAAAGCTTGAAAAGTCCTCCTTGTAAATAATTAATTTATTCTTATACAACTGCAAAAAAAAATATATTCCAGTTATAGCTGATGCCAATGATGGAGTAGGTTATGGAAGTATGATAACTTTGATTTCTCCCTTCCAGCAGTAAACCAATGTCGAAGGTTGGTGTTTGCTAGGCTATGCATGATTAATTATAAGCAGATATTTCTGGTAAGAATGGGGATGTTATAATCATAACCTTATTACTGGATTTATTATTAATGAATATGCATGGCATATTTGCCACTAGACATTAAGAAACTTTAAAATCACATTTTTTCATCTATAAATGCTTTTAAACTCTTTTGCCCTTGAATAATCCCCTCCCAACCATAGTCATTGGTCTTCTGATGCTTTGACCTCCTTTGCCTCACTAGAATTAAGGATAAAGACGCAACCCTTATGTCCAGTTTTAATTTTAAGTAATGTGTCTGTCCAAGGAACATCATCAGTGGTTATATTATGTTATATCTTAGTGTATTTTTTAATTTGGAGAATTGGTGTTAAAAGCAGATCTTTGATTGTTTCTGCTTTATTTATTTACAACTTATAGACTCTGGATTAATTCGAGCTTGACATATTGTATTGAAATCTGTCTTTTGATGAAGACCATATGTTGCACTCAAGATTCCTTTTGGTTATTTTGTTGTTAGATTGCTGTCTCATTTATATATACTAGACATCTGTTTTCAGTCATAAATCAATGGTAAAAGCTGTTGGAACTTGTGAACATGTTATATTGGCTTATTCTACATGCAATTAATTCAGTGTACTTTTCTAAAAAATGATACATAATCTTTCATTTGCTAATGTAGTGAAAGCATAAGGCTCTATCTTTCAGCTAAATAAATAGGGAATGTGTCCATAGGACACAGATGATGCCCCGCTTGCATATAACGTTATGAAGGAATACCTCAAGAACAGTAAAAGTGACGCTATCCAAATTTGTAGTTGATCTGAGCTTTGTGGTAATAAGCATTGTGTATGAGTTTCATAACATTTGTTTGAGGCAAACTTAAGTTAGAGAACAGAAACGAAAAATTCAGCAATTTTTCCATTTGTAAAAGAACGAAAAATTTAGCAATTTTTCCATTTATAAAGGGGCATTACTCTAGAACAGTGATGCCACCAACAGTCAAATTTGATCTGTGTTTTGTGGTAATAAGCATTGTGTATAAGTTTCATAATATTTGGTTGAGGCAGTTAGAGAACAGAAACCAATTTTGGGACGTACAGATGTATGGACCAACATACGTACAGAAGGACAAGGGTAAAACTTAATGCCCCCTCAGCTTCAGCAGCAGGGATGATTCCAGGTGTTTTCAAATGGGTCCCTTGACCTTCAAATTGGGAATTTTTTTTTATGCATAAAATCTTTGAGGAAATAACATTATTTTCCTGTAAAAACAGAAAATGTATTTAGTTTTACCTGTACACTGTTACACAAAGTTGTAATATTTGGAATAATCCTGGACCGGCTATTGATTATGATATATATATATGATTACCAGATAGCTTTACATTTAGTGGATTGAGACCAGGGAAGTTGTTACATGAAAATCATTGCACATGATGCACTATCTTTTGTAGGCTTGTATCTTAGCTATGGTGTTACCTTTTACATCTATAACAGCTAAGACATACCACTGAAAAAAATAAACGGGAAATGTGTCCATGGGACACAATCATGCCCCCGCTTGCATATCATATAAAGTTATAAAGGGACATAACTGACAAACGGTAAAAGTGACCCTACCCAAATTTGTACTTGATCTGAGTTTTGTGGTAATAAGTATTGTGTATAAGTTTCATAAAAATTGGTTGAGGCAAACTTAATTTAGAGAACGGAAACAAAAAATTCAGCAATTTTTCCATTTGTGAAGGGGCATAATTCTAGAACGGTTAAGGTGACACCACCAAAATTCAAACTTGATCTGTATTTTGTGGTAATAAGCATTGTGTATAAGTTTCATAACGTTTGGTTGAGGCAAACTAAAGTTAGAGAACGGAAACAAAATTTTTAGTAATTTTTCCATTTGTAAAGGGGCATAACTCTAGAACAGTTAAAGTGACGCCACCAAAATTCAAACTTGATCTGTGTTTTGTGGTAATAAGCATTGTGTATAAGTCTCATAACACTTGGTTAAGGCAAACTAAAGTTAGAGAAAAAAAAACAACTTTGGAACGTATGTACGGACGGACAAGGGTAAAACTTAATGCCCCTCCGCTACGGCGGGGGCATAAAAATCATCCATTGGGTAATTTTTTCATTAACAGGTCATCTTTATAAATTTACTTTTAATGTAAATGGATTTCAAATTGAAATGGCCAACTGTTGAATTCAGAAAAGCAATTACAAAAGTTTTAGTACTTAATTAATAAGATATATTTTGTAATTTTTGCTTGCTGTTTTAATATGTGTTTTACTCTGGGACTATTATAATTATGTCCAAGTTTTACTTTAAGGTGTAACTTTAAGAAACAAGAAATTTAAGCATTGAACCATTGTATTATAGTATTATTTGGAGCATCTTTACAACTTTTGAAACAGTTCCATAGTGTGTCGACATCCTTTTTCATGAATGATCTATTAACATGTATTTTCAAAAACATTCAGACAGTTAAGACTTGTCTTGAGCCAGACAAAATAATTTTTTTTTTTTATATAAAACAAGTTTCCATCATATTATCTGCTTTTACAAGATCGGCGCCCATTAAATTCATCAATGATATATCAAAATCTAAATTTTGCTCTCTGCCGAGGTTTGCTTTTACGAGACCCATTTTGACAAAAAACATCTTTTTTTATCAACCTGTTGGGCAATCTGCTTTTACTATAGTCCAAATAATTATGAAGTCTTGAAAGGTTATTTAATTTTTTTGCTGTCGTAGGAAGGTGTCACAGCAAAAAAATAAAATTGGTCTTTCAAGACGTCATACTTATTTGGATTACTTTTACGAGATCAAATACTCCCATAGTATTTTCGTCAATTTCATATGAGGGGTCTGATTCCGCTCCTGAAATCATTTACCACACGTTGACATAATTGAATCATTGTTACTAAAATGTGATCATTGACAGCATTCTTATACAGATTTTAAAACGCTTTGACGACAAAACTATGAAAAATTATAGTTGCCTAAATCGGCGACGGAAACATTTCCAGAAATATAGAATTTTTTGTTTATTTGTTCCTGAATTGGGAATTTATGTTTGCATACATTTTTTTGGGGCCAACTGCCAATTTTAGGGCCGCTCAGCGGCCCTAAATTATATAGTAGAATCATCCCTGGGCGGGGGCATAAAAATTCTGTAGGTAGTCATTTGTGATTCATCCTTCTTCAATTAACACAGCCCTATCAAAATCTATGGTTAACTGACACTTCAGTAAGAAGATAGAGAAGCCTTAATTTCCAAAATAACTTATTAAAAAAAAACTACTATCAATAGTTACTTGACAAGTATATAGCGTGTCAACCTTTTGACACGTGTGTTAATGCTTATTGTATTTGAATTTCTCATAAATCACATAAATATATTGTAATCAAGATATTTTTTATTATTTTCATGATGATTATGTAACACAGAGTGATAATTTCTGCATGCATACAAAATGTTTTTTTTCAATACACAACAACTGACATTAACACATTTAGAAAGAAAGGAGTAAAGAAATAAATCCATTTTTTGTTTTCCTTAAACATGAAATGTATGAAATGCAATTGATAAATAATTTGATATAATAAAAGAGAGAACAAGTATCGAGAAAAGAAGTAAACAGATAAAAAAGATTATGGACTTTTGTATAAGAGTTACATATGTAATAATATTGACCTATATTATACATATATCCAACAGTAAAGTAGTGAAGGTTGTATAAGATCAGAGGAAAGTATTTTTGTTCCAATATCCGTAATAAAATTGTTTCTCTTTCCTCCTTCAGCAATGTATAAAAGATTATAAATTAAAAAATACTGGTAAAAAGCCTAAAATGTCCCAAAACAGTAAATTTAATTATCAAAATTTAAAATAAATACTATAAAATTTATCTTTAAATATAAAATGTCAAACTGTTGAATAAAACTGTTTTCAATATCTAAAGATGTTTATAACACTAAGAATTGCATAATAGTAGTGTAATATCAGTTTATTGTTTTTACCAAATTTTATACTGCATGATAAACCAAATTCCAAATAATTAACAATGCAGGCTTTTAAAAACCACATTTACAATTTCAATAGCAGATTATATAAATGTATAATAAGATTCACTTATCAAGTGTATGGTCAATTTAAATAAAAAAGAATTCTACCATAACTTTCAAGAAACTAAGTCTTCAAATGATAAATGAAAAAATATTGAAATGAATAAGACGTAAATATCCATTTACCCTTTCACTTGTTATTCGGCAGTTCAAATTTTTTTATACTGGCAACTAAATAAAATCATGGAAAAACTTGAACAACAAAAAACAACAACAGACATACTTGTGTCTGAAAATTAAATAAAAATCTAACATTCCTCCATATCACATAACTTATTTGTATTACACAATTTTTGTTGTTTTGTTTTTTAAATGCATAACAAAATTAATAAATGGAAAAAATAGAAACAGACTTTTATAAAACCTGAAATATGTTAATCTGATATATAAAAAAAAAAGAGGGTAACTTTTGTTTTGCCAGTTCAATTTTTTTGCAATTCAGTCTGATGGAATCAATTCGGACAAAATATTTTTGGTACTGGACTTAAAAAGCACTTTACACATTAAATTTATGTGGAGGGTAAAAAATAAAATTCTATAAAAAACGTTAAAATAATTTATAGCTTGCCAGACATCTTGAGGTTTTGCTTGTTCCCACAAAATCCTTCATAAAACATACATTAACTTATAAAAATAAAATGGATGTCAAGGCAAGCTCTAACCGAACACATAAAATTCATTGAGTGAAATTAATTTCCTGAATTCAACTTTCTCTGTTTAACATCACCGGATTCTTGTGAAGAGATTCAACACAGATTTAGATTCCTGAAAATAAATAAACAAATTGATGAGTGCGTGTGGTAATATCTTATACAAATTACAAACAAAACATAACAATTAAATTATTGTATGATGTTAAAATATGGTAGTAATTTCATTCTGTTGCACAATACATTTAGAAATGGTTTGGGCCAAATTAACCAAACAATATACCAGTCCATATACTTATACATCTTTGGATTTCAAAACTATTTGCTGAGAGCATTCTTCATGAAGGTCAATTCGGAAAACTTCAGTGCTTTTTTCTTTTAAATTGGTGAGAGACAGAACATTTTTCAAAAGTGTTTTAGTTCTGTTTGAATTTTGATCCTAAGATTGGATCTGTTTCAAGTGAATTTCTGATGTTATTTTAAATGTTATATTCCATGCTTAGGATAAATTTCACAGCTACATAAACATAAACTGTTGTTGATACCACTTAAAAGATGCATACTGTATAAGAACTATGCTAAAGAAACCTGCCTGCCTGTACCAAAATAGTTGCAAAACATGAGTACCAGTAACCAATTATTTTGATGGAATTGTAAGTAAAGAAAGTGTCTTCAGATGAGTGTAAGTCACCATATGATATCATTGTATAAGTTCAGTTTTGTGATTTAAATTTAACTGAAACTTTACAACTAAAATGTACACCATAAATATTTTGATAGCTTTTAAATCATGATTCTTTACTTAAAAACAAATTAGGAGTATCCTTTTAAAATTTCAGATGTGACATTGTGGTTTTATGAAAAATTTACTACATGTATTAGTCACATGTGGTTAATACCTACTTTTGTTGACCTAGTTTTACTGAAAACATTCCAAAAACGTAAAGTTTCATCCCCAGCTCCTGTTACAATGGCTTCTCCATCTGGTGACATTGCCTAAAACACAGTTAACTTGTTTTATTCATAAACAAATGGGCATAGAAATATTAATTATATAAGTGTATGAATTACAGCATATTAAATATAGGTTGAAATTTCCCAATTTGGGGCTTTTTAAAAGAGCAGTAGAAAACATATAAGAACATAGTAGATACTGCAATCACTGGCCACTGCTAGGACTTCTGTCTTGAGTTTAATTAGCAATAAACAGCTTAATTCACTGACAACAGCTGACCCATTTTTTTATTAAAACTGAACCAATAAACCACAAAAATCTCCAGGTAAACCTCATATAACCCAAGGTGCAAATCCGTACAAAAATGTGTTTGGTAAATGCCAACAGGATCAAGTGCAGCAGCATGCACCTTCAACAGCTCCATGATAAATGCATGCTAATGATGTGTATGTCAGTGACATGTTACAGCATGCCTGTTTACACGTAGAATACCAATGATGTAATGTTATCTTGACAAGATGATAACCATCTATCTGATAAACATGTGGGAAAATAGGCAACAAAGCATAGTACTGTGCAAGTATCAAAATCATCGCTTTTAATCATTAAAAGTTAGAATAAATTATAGGAAATAGTTACGACATAGTGGAAACATTGAGTCTCAGAGAAACTGTTTACTGCACCTGATTATTTATAGCTGTGCTAAGAAGGGTTTATCTAATATTTATCTTTTAATCTCCATTCTTACTATTTATCTAACTATCAAAGTATATATCTCCATGTACAAAGGTGAAATTAAGATCTATGTGAGAAAATGTAAGAATCAATGAGTTAAGGTAAAATTAAATTGTGTTTACACAAGTTTTATATATTTCAACAAACTCCTTTATCATGCATTTATTATTAAAGCATTAGTTTCTAAAAAATACTTAATTTCTTTTACATGTTTGAGTTTTTAAATCAATATCAAATAAGTCCAGATTTTTTTTTAAAAGGACATTTTCAACTGTAAAAACTAATTCAATGAGTCCCTAATTATCAAAAAAATTATATTATGACTGGCCAATATTATAATTTAATCTATCATAAGCAGGGGAAAAGGGTCAACTCCTAAAAAATGCATTTGGAGGATTCAATATAATATCCCCTACATGCAGGAACAGTGTATGAGTTTACATTTATATGAGACAAGCTTTAAATCATAATGGAGGTCAACAAATTTTCAATTCAAATTAAGCGGGGTTATTGCGTATGTAGTTTAGAGTTTCCATCTTTTCATTAATGATTGATTATTTGGTGTTTAATACCACCTTCAGAACCATTGGTTATATCATTAGCAGCCACTTTTTATTGGTGTAGGAAGCTGCAGTGCCCAAAGAGAACCACACACTTTCTGCAGGAAAACTGACAATCCTAGTCAATTAAGATTTGAGTTGAACGCACCTGACAACCTCAGTAAGTGTTTTTTTATCTTAATGGAAAGCTGCAAAAATATTCAATAACTTGTAGCCCCTACCAATCTCCTGAAGAATTAGTTGTGCTCTCTCTGAAAACTGATATTTTCAAGCAATTTTCTATGTCCTAGGACCAAATCTTTCACATTAGTGATAACATGTATATAATTATATATATAATTGCTAAACCAGATTGAAATTAAAATCATTATCTGCAACTTCTTATGATATGATTATGCTCCAAATAGCTGACCAATTGATTTAGGTCATACAAATAGAGTGGGTAAGACTGATTATTCAAGCAATTTACAATATCATAGGGTCATAACTTCCACAAAAAATGTTTAATTGGGACTCAGAACTTAACCTGCAACCACTTCACCAGAAAAATAATGGAACGTATTCTGTAATTTCTAATGCCTTGAATATTAGAAAAACAGACCAAAACACAAAAACTTAACACTGAGCAATGAACCGTGAAAATGCGGTCCAGGTCAAATAAAACCTGCAAGATTGACATGTACATCGTAAAATATTTCCATACACCAAATATAGTTGACCTATTGCATACAGTATTAGAAAAACAGACCAAAACACAAAAACTTAACATTAAGCAATGAACTGTAAAAATGAGGTCAAGGTCAAATTAAACCTGGCATTGTAAAATATTTCCATACACTAAATATAGTTGACCTATTGCACACAGTATTAGAAAAACAGACCAAAACACAAAAACTTAACATTTACCTATGAACCATGAAAATGAGGTCAAGGTCAGATGACACCTGCCAGTTGGACATGTACACCTTACAATCATTACATACACCAAATATAGTAGACCTATTGCTTATAGTATCTGAGATATGGACTTGACGACGAAAACTTAACCTTGTTCACTGATCCATGAAATGAGGTCGAGGTCAAGTGAAAACTGTCTGATAGGCATGAGGACCTTGCAAAGTACGCACATACAAAATATAGTTATCCTATTACTCATAAGAGAGAAATTAACATTACAAAAAATCTTAACTTTTTTTTCAAGTAGTCACTGAACCATGAAAATGAGGTCAAGGACAATGGACATATGACAGACGGAAACTTCATATCAATCATAAGGCATCTTTATACAAAGTATGAAGCATCTAGGTCTTCTACCTTCTGAAATATTAAGCTTTTAAGAAGTTAGCTAACGCCGCCGCAGCCGGATCACTTTCCCTATGTCGATCTTTCTGCAAGTCGCAGGCTGGACAATAAGATGTGGTATGATTACCAATTTTAAATTTTAAACAGGGACCAAACGACTTAGAAGTTAGCAACTTTAGGTCAGGTCAGTGTTTTCAAAAGGTTGCAAAATTTACCATGGTGCTGCTGTAGTTCTTACTGTTAGTAAATTTTACTTATATCATAAGGGACACAACTATAGACAATAAATGTAACATTCATCAAATTCAAACATGGTGTAGTTGTCCCAATATAATGTTTAAAATATCAAATGATTAGCTGATGCTCTGAATCACTTCCCTAAAATATCATTTCTTCAAATAATACTGGTAATATTCCTTTATGTATGCTATGCATGCACATTCATTGTAAATGAATTCATTTATAACCACAATTGATAAATCACTCTGTTATAAACTGTATAAACTAGAATAATGTACCCTTTAAGGCCTAAGTATTTATTTCTTAGCCTAATGAAAATGATTGATCTTTTGGAATTAAATTTCCATCTAGACTACTAATCAACAAGTTCTTATCATTGACCATCCATCATTTAGGCGTAAGGCACAATATATAAAAATTTAAAGGATCAACCCTTTCTGCAACAAAACGTTACAGGGTTTTGCTGGGGTCTATATAAGAGGTCTCTCCTTAGCCTGTGGCAAATAATTTTATGATCCTTTAATTCCATGCAAATGGCAAGTCAATTTAAGAGGAACTTGCACACCTGGTCAGATTGACACAAGATTTTATTTCTACACCTGTTTTTCCTCGACACTATCTATTTCTTGACAAAAATTAATAAACCTAGATATATCTAAGTTTACTCTTATGTTTGTAAATACTGGTGTAAGATTACATACATATCTGTAGCCAATAGGGTTTGAGATGATTTGTTGTACAGACCTTAGAAACAGAAAAAATGCGTGGCAAGCATCTCATTACTACCCACACAAGTAAAGTTAACATTCTGAGATACATGGTTATTCCAAACTCACCATAACAAATTTACAAGCAACAAAATGTATAGCAAGAATAGGTATAATAATTATTTTATCTTGATTTTAAAACCAATTGCTATCAATACATCTTAACAAAGGTTTCACAATAAAGTAATCTGGACTCGAAAGGTTAACCATCAAGTCAAGGAGTAACTCAGAAATAAATAAATTGATTGAAATCATTATTTCATACAAGTAAGTTAGAATGCAGTAAAATTTGTTGACAACTTGCTTATACATGTTATATATATAGATAAATGAAAGGGATATGATCTGCAGCTCATCAAGTTTTTTAAAACTCAATTCATAGATCAATGCTTATTTACAATAACATGACTGAACTCTCCAGTGGTGCCCTTCATTTCCTGATCTGGATTTTCTTTTATCTATTCTCCCTTTTATTATTATCAAAACTAACCAATAAATACTTACTAGATATAATACTCTGTATGTATGTCCTGTTAATTTGGCAATTTGAACAAGTGAAGGATATTTCCATACTAATATTTGATTTTGTGAATAACCATGAGTACTAACCTGAAAAAAATATAGTATTTATATAATTATTATAAAATCAAATTATGTCATTAACAATTCTAAGTGAAGGGAGACAACAATGAAATACATTTGTAAATTTTCTAGCATTGATAAGATTACCTCCCTTCATATCTTTGCTATTTGCTTAAATCATTTCCATTAGTTTTGTAGATTAATAACTCCCTTGATATAAATAAGTTCAATAAATACAGATATTGTTGTTCTCTGAAGAATGAGAAAAAACAAGAAGTACTGTAAGCCATTGCTCACTAATTATACCCCACCCAATACAAAATTTGACAAAAATTTCATGTGTGGATAATTAAAATATGTAATATACAACTTACAATTTCATTTGAGTGCTTTGACCAGGCTAAGTTACACACTTGTGATCCTGTATCAACACACTGCAATGGCTGACATGTTAATGTATTCCAGAATCTAATACACCTATCTGCAGTACCTCCCCCACTAGCTAATAGTCCATGCTGATGAGGAGACCATGCAATAGCCTTTACAGCAGCTAAATGTTCATTATAAGTCTGAACTGGTATTGTACTATTCATGTTCCACACAAACAATTTATTGTCATTGCCACCTGATGCTAAATGTTGGTGATCAGGTGACCACTTGAGTCCACACACTTCCTGTTTGTGTCCTGTTAATTTACGTTCTGGCACAATAGAAGGTGTGCGAATATCTCTTTGTAATATCAATCTGTCTCTACTTCCTGATGATAAAACATCTCCATTCCATGCTAATGCTCCTGGAATATTAGAATAAGACCATTGTAAATGTGTAAATCAATATCAAGGGTACAATAAATATCAAAGGTGTATACTAGTATATGAGATATCCTTGGGGATAAAAAAAAAAATTACATCTTTGTTTATCTTATTTTGCAAATCAAGGGATTTGCTTGTATTAGGTTTCTAATTACTTTAGTTTGTACCTCAACTACTTATAGGGTACAATGTTTATGATTTTAATTGATATGGCCTTAACTCTACACATCCATTCTGAAAACTTAAATAGGAGTGTCTTGTCCAATCATAAAAGTGTATTAAATGTGCACTGATACATCATATTTGAAGTGTCAAATCATATGAGTATATGAATAAGGTCAGTCTACAGTGAAAGTGTTCAGTCCATAAACCTTTATGATCTTAAATATTCCCATTTATCACTCTTCCTGAATTTTACACTAGGAATGAATGAATTATTTCATATAAATTTACTTACCTACTCTAGCACTATGACCTGATAATGTATTTATTTTTTTATTTGCTGCTACATCCCATATCTGTACAAATCCTTTATGTGTTCCTACTGATACTAAATGCCCCTGGAAAAAATATATTTATAAAGTGTATATATCAAGGTTAAAACAATAATTTACTCTATTAGTATTTTCCAGAACCTCTCTGCACAGTGAATGAAATCTGGCATTGTCTAGATTTTAAATACAATATATGTTATAATAAAAATCAACCTCTACTTGGACAGAATAATAAACTATACGTTATAATAAAAATTAACCTCTACTTGGACAGAATAATAAACTATACGTTATAATAAAAATTCGTAAGGGTTCTGCGGAACCCAGTGTTTCGCCTACTTTTGCTGTTATTCGCAAGCTCAACAAAAATGGGGAAATTATTATTAAAAAATTTCCTCTAGATACTATCTTTTGAATGTAAGAAGCTTCTGTTCAAGTTTGGTAAGAATCCAGGATGGTTTATGAATGTAATAAATGTTTTAAAAACTTTAACTGCAGACTGTATGTAATGTTAACTGGAAGAAAAACTAAGTCCATTTATAAGTAATATACAGAAAAACAGGAAATTTTTTTTTACAAAATTTCCGTCTAGATACTAGCTTTTGATCATAAACAAGCTCCTGTCCAAATTTGGTACAAATCCAGGATAGTTTAAGAAAGTTATTAAAATTTTGAAAACTTTAACCACAGAGTGAATGTTATGTTAACTGGCAGAAAAACTAAGTCCATTTATAAGTAAAATATGGATAAACAGGATTTTTTTTTAACAAAATTCACTTTTGAATACTATCTTATGATCATAAACAAGCTTCTGTCCAAGTATGGTACAAATCCAGGATAGTTAAAGAAAGTTATTAAAATTTGAAAAACTTTAACCACAGAGTGAATGTAATGTTTCCTGGCAGAAAAAGTAAGTCCATTTATGAATAAAATACGGATAAACAGGATTTTTTTTTTTACAAAATTTACTTCTGGATACTATCTTATGATCATAAACAAGCTTCTGTCCAAGTTTGGTAGAAATCAAGTATAGTTTAAGAAAGTTATTAAAATTTTAAAAACTTTAACCACAGAGTGAATATTTGTGGACGCCGTTGACGCCAACGGAATGTAGGATTGCTTTGTCTTGCTTTTGCAACAAAAGTCGCAGGCTCGACAAAAATCAACCTCTACTTGGACAGAATAACAGATAACAGTACATCGTGAACAAGTTTTTTTAAAGAGTAAATCATACATGAGTCTTAACTGCATACTATACAGAAGAGATCGCTTTTTCCTCTTTACATTTTGAAACAAAGTCAATTTTGATATGCAGTCATTAGCAACATTGCAAAAGCTTCACATAAATTTTAGATGCGAAATTATCTCCCCTTACAAATGTATCACATGCCCTTTGAAAATCTGACATTTTAAACAATTATACTCTGCTAAATTTAATTCAACTACATCTCAGCTTTTGACAGTACTGTAAATTTTGTCAACTATACAATTAATAACCAGCATTTTAACCCATCCATACACACGATTGAAATACATCTCAAAAATTAATGTTCACAAGAAATTACTTGTATGCTGTTTAGATGTATTTTAAAATAAAATGCTCCGCTGGGCACAGCTTGATACAACTGCAGAGGTCGAACCCTGAACAGTTGGGGCAAGTATGGACACAACATTCAAGCTTGATACAGCACTGAATTTGGATTGTGATTAAATATTTGACACAGCATAGGTTTCTGACACAGAATGAATGTGGTCTAAGAACTTAAAATTTTTTAATTCACCTATTCAAACCATATCATTATTATTTGCTTTTATATATAAATCAGAAATAACCAATTTAAAATGGAAAATTTTAAAGAAAAAAAAAATCCCTCCCCCAAATTTTTTGAACCCCCTTATGATTCATCACCCCCAAACTCAATCCCAGCCTTCCCTTTGTGGTATGGTACCTTGCAGTACAATTTCAGAGAGATCCATACATTTGAACACAAGTTATTGTCTGGATTCTAGAAAAATGCTTGTTTTTGCCCCTTTTTGGCCCCTAAAATTTTGAGGCAATTACCCTTAAAATCAATCCCAGCCTTCCCTTTGTGGTATGGTACCTTACAGTACAATTTCAGAGAGATCCATACACTTGAACACAAGTTATTGTCTGGAAACTAGAAAAATGCTTATTTTTGGCCCCTTTTTGGCTCCTTATTCCTAAACGTTGTGGGCAATTACCCCCAAACTCAATTCCAGCTTTCCCTTTGTGGTATGGAACCTTGTAGTACAATGTCAGAGAGATCCATACACTTACACACAAGTTATTGTCATGAAACTAGACTAAATGCTTGTTTTTTGCCCCTTTTTGGCCCCTAATTCCTAAAATTTGGAGGCAATTACCCCCAAAATCAATCCCAGCATTCCCTTTGTGATATGGAAACGTGTGGTACAATGTCAGAGAGATCCATACACTAACACACAAGTTATGTCTGGAAGTTACAAAATGCTTACTTTTGGCCCCTAATTCCTTAACTGTTGGTACCATAACCCCCAAAATCATTCCCCACCTTCCTTTTGTGGTATTGAACCTTATGGTAAAATTTCATAGAGATCCATTCACTTAAACTAAAGTTAGAGTGCGAAAACCAATGTGTCTTCGGACGACCACGATGCCAACGTCATACCAATAAACGACCACAAAATTTTTTTGCGGTCGTATAAAAAGTTTGTCATGAAATAACAAACATTTGCAGCAGTACTTAGCACTTTTTTAAGAAACAAAAAACGTCTTAAAATGTACATCTGATTTTGCTATGAATGCAAATCTTTTTGTGTGTGCATGATATATTGGTGAAATAACATACCCTTTCTGACCATGATACTGATGTTACTGTATCTCCATCACTTGATAAATCACATAGTCTTGTCACCTGTAAAACATTATACAATTACAATTATTGCTATATTCAAATTGTTTTATGCAGATGAACTGTCTGCATCTCGATTTTTTCTTGTAATCACAAAAAAAAAAAATAATAGAGGGATGTATCCAGTATAATATGAATGTCCTCTTGTATTGAGCTGAGCTCAATATTGTAAAGACAGCTATCTATATTGAATGGACAGCTTTATGTAAAAATTCCAAGAATACTGTAGTTAATTGTAAAATAAATGAAAAACTCCCCAGGACAACATTCACTCCATAGATACAAGTACCACAACAGCATTTATTTTGCCTGTCTAGTACATGTATATACCTTCACCGGTACTGCATCAATTTTACCATGCCTGGTACATGTGTACATGCACTCCATAGATAAACACAAGTACTTTTGCTTATATATTACATGTACTCTACAGATATACACAGGTGATACGCCACAAATTTAACTTTTCTAGTACATGCATAAAGCTTTGAAGGTACTTCATTATTTTTACATGCCTACTATATGCACTCCATAGTTACATTATACACACAAGTACATCTTGTTTTTTACAGGACTAATACATAAACTCCATACAGACATGTTGGTACAACAACATCTTTTTTGTTTTTTGACCTGACTAATACATACACTCCATAGAGACTTGTTGGTACTACAATATCTTCTTTGTTTTTACCTGACTAGTACCTACACTCCATAGAGACAAGTTGGTACTACATCATTAAATTTACCTGACTAGTACATGCACTCCACAGATAAACACAGGTACCAAGTCCAACACTTAGAACATTCTGTGATGACCAATCCACCAAGTTTAAATAAAAATCATCCTGCAGTTCAGGAGCATCTAACACCTTAAATGGTATCTTTGATATCTTTCTCACAGCCTAGAATAAAAGTTGTAAAAATCAACAATGAATATGTTTTGCTCTCAATTCTCAATAATGCAATCTTCTCTGATTTACTCTCATAAAACAATTTTAGACATTTTTATCGTAGTATTTCATGTCACACCATATGCATGTTAGCAATTTTGAAGTTCCAAATATTAAGTATATTAAGTGTATACACACTTCAAAATTTCACTTTATAATGCATATTATGATGACATCCATCTGCAAGTATATATTCCACAAATCTCTTTATTTTTTGTAAGAGACAGATATTTTACATCGCCATAATATGACATTTTTCAAGTTCAACCAATTACATTTGTTTTACATTTAACCCTGATTAATGTTAGGTTAATGTAACTATCAAAATTTACCAACAAGGGTTTAAAGTCAGATCAACTTGCTATTTTGTAATATCAATACAAGTCAGTTGATATATATCATATTCCACTAATAATTTCAAGATTATTTTTATATCTACCTTTCTTGGAGATCTAAGAAGTCGTTGACTTTTACTTCCTACTGGTGATAATGAATACGGAGATGAATCACTAAAATCTAAACTTCTTCTAGGAACATGATACTATAAAATAAAACAAGTAGTAATTAACAAATGGCTAATATACACTATAGCTAACCAGTTTTATAGCATGAAATCAATCATGTGTAATTAACAAATGGTTAACATACACTATAGCTAGCCAGTTAAGCATGAAATCAATCATGTGCATCTTTACTTGATCAAACTCATGCATAAGTTTTTATGTTTCGCTAATTGTCAAATAGACTTATTACAGCATTTTTTCAGTTTTTGTCATTGTAAGATATTATTTATTCTATATGTTATAACCAATTTCACTCTGATACAATTTAGGCAAAACCATATAAAGTTCATAAACCTCTATGAACCTTTTGATCGATTTATAAGGGGGAGGGTTGATAGTCCAAATAATTATAACATCTTGAAAGGCTATCTTAATTTTTTTTCTGTAACAAATAGGATTCCATTTGAGGTGTGCAATGATCTACTTTGATTTCCCAAGATTCTTCACTTCCGATGAGTATAAAATATCAAACTTGGTAAAATTTGGCAGACCCAAATTTCCAGATAATATAAATTGAATGTTCCGGGTATTCGGGTCCATCAAATTTTATGGAGTTTGGTATTTTATACTCTCCATAAGTGAAGGATCTTGGGAAATCAGGGAAACCATTTTAAACGCAAAGTAGAACATTTCACACCTCAAATGGAATTGTACCTTCTTTTACCATTACTTTTGGAAATTTCTGGAAATATTTTGCACCAACAAGCACACAAAAGGTAAGACTTTGTATATATACAAAAATTTCTAGCGGTCTATGAAGATTTCATGGCAAAATTGGGTATCAAAGTTCTCTCTCAAAAGTGCAGACGAAAAAAATTGCTTCAGCGTTATGATGTCGTAGGAAGGCGTCACAGAAAAAAATAAAATGGCCTTTCAAGACGTCATAATTATTTGGACTAGAGGGTTGAGTGCTCAAAAACTACAAATGTATTTAAAATTAATAACCTCTCTAAATGTTCATATGCCAGTCTCAAGTCAGAAACCTTCACAGTGGTGTTATTTATAACTTAAATCATACTGACTTTTAAAAGCTCTTTGTGTATGTTGTGTGGACTACAATTATTGAAAAAAAGAACTACTATCTATGTTAGTGGAGTAACACAGCTACTTATGTTTGTGATGTAACATATGATTCTTAAAGATTTTTCAGATAATATTTGGGTGAACATAGAAACTTAGCTATAGAAGTGAAAAGTTATTTAGATTTACAAATATAATCATTAAACTTACACGAAAAAGATTTTTACTTTCTTTGGGGACTAAAATTCTTCTTTCATCTGTCTGTTGATCCTACAAAAATTAAACATATCTATGTGTATATATATGGTATTGTCATTGTTTTAAAATATCTTTTATTCTATGAGATGTTCAATTTATTCCATCAGATTAAAGTTTTAATAGTTAATAATAAATGGGGAATGTGTCCATGGGACACAGATGATGCCCCAGCTTGCATATCATATAAAGTTATAAAGGGACATAACTGAGGAATGGAAAAAGTGACGCTACCCAAATTTGTTACTGATCCGAGTTTTGTAGTAATAAGTATTGTGTATAAGTTTCATAACATTTGGTTGAGGCAAACTTAAGTTAGAGAACAGAAACGAAAAAATTCAGCATTTTTTCCTTTTCTGTAAAGGGGCATAACTCTAGAACAGTAAAAGTGACGCCACCTAAATTCAATCTTGATCTGTATTTTGTGGTAATAATCAATGTGTATAAGTTTCAAAACATTTGGTTGAGGCAAACTAAAGTTACAGAACGGAAACAAAAAATTCAGCAATTTTAGCAATATTCCATTTCTAAAGGGGCAAAACTCTAGAACTGTTACAGTGACGCCACCCAAATTCAAACTTGATCTGTGTTTTGTGGTAATAAGCATTGTGTATAAGACCACAACATTTGGTTGCGGCAAACTAAAGTTAGAGAACGGAAACAAAAAAATTCAGCAATTATTCCATTTGTAAAGGGCATAACTCTAGAACAGTTAAAGTGACACCACCAAAATTAAAACTTGATCTGTATTTTGTGGTAATAAGCATTGCATATAAGTTTCATAACATTTGGTTGAGGCAAACTAAAATTAGAGAACGGAAACAAACTTTGGGACGTACAAGGGTAAAACTTAATATCCCCGCGGCGGGGGCATAAAAACATTCTCACAAAAACTCACCTTCAAATCTTCAATGCCCGCTGACAAGAGTTCATTTTTCAGTAAACAATAATAAGCTAGACCATCTTTACTGCTATCAGCTGTTGGCTCCTTAGATTTACTACTAGATTGAGTGGGTGATGATGTAGGACTTCCCTTAAGAAGTAAAAAGACATTTTATTGTATTATTTATATATAGCAATAAAACAGAGAGAGATTTTCAAATGGAAAATTTTACTGATCTTATAATCTAAATAAACATGGGATTGGTTTGAAATACATGTTTATGAAATTTCTTTATCTACATCAAAAGAAAATATTTTTACTTGAAACAGTCATGCATAACATTTATTCAATCATTTGTTACATGTATCTTATATGTGTACATTAATTTATTGTGAGGACTTTTTCTTTTTAATAATTATTCTATGTTGAGCTGCCTGCATTTACGTTAAAATACTAACTTTTGGAATATTAAAATTTATATGCCAGCTAGCTCCTGCTCTACTTGGTATAAATCTGTCTCCATATTTGTCTTTACTTGGTGAAGCTACTGGACTCATAGGACTTAAACTCAATGGCTGTAAAACAAAATATATTCTAACTAAGTAAAAACACATCAGGCATTAATAACTTTGTTTTTTAATGGGGATACACATATTCCAATGAAATCCACCTGTGTATAAAGCTTATGATAGCTTCATAACATTGATGATTACAAACTGTTTGCATGCATTGGGGTTGTAGATAAAAACACACAAACAAAATAATACAAATGTTTTGGAATTTTACCTATTTACTTGATCATGGCTACATTGTATATATACAAGATAAAAAATAAGTAATGATAACTATGTATATTAATATTTATCCTGTTTACATTATATATACATAGCTAGATAATTTTGTAGAGAACAGATGATGACACCAGTTTTTGAAAATTTTTCAAAATTTGCAACTTTAACATTAAAAGAGTTCTTAAGCACTTAATCATTTGACATGAATTATTAAGCAAATAAATAAATTGACATTCTACTACATTTGGAAATTTATTTTTCTGTTTTTCAAATGCAGCTTTACTTGCCTTTGGCTAGTAGTTATAAGAACAAGAATATGTATGTATTTTTCAAATTAAAATTTGTATACAATACTTACAGAATTATATGGGGAAACCTGGCCATTTTGTTGTCGAAGCAAACGCTTCTCATATTCTGGATCCATTACCTAAATTTGACTTTTCTTCTTAATTCCACATCTTTTTTTAATAGCTGGCCTAACTTGGTTGTGTTATAATATGTACCAAGAACTCTGAAACAAAACATGCAAATATTTCATAATTACATGTGCTTTTATAAAATAACTTAAATTCATCTCTAGACAAGAGTCTGTCAGAGTGACAGCAAACTGGATTTCCTGAAGAGGTCGAACCCTGAACAGTTGAGCAAGTATGGACACTACATTTAAGCTTAAAACAGCTCTGAATTTGGATTGTGATTGAATATTTGACACAACATAGGTTTGTGCCACAAAATGAACGTGGTCAAAGAACTAAAAAATTTGAAATTGGACATATACCTATTATGGTAAAGGAGCCCACAATACAAAATCTCTAAATACATGGTTAGATTCAGCATTTCGAAGAACCCCATAAATTCATTTTTTGTTGAATCAAACAAAGTTTAATTTTGGACCCTGATTTGGACCAACTTGAAAACTGGGCCCAAAAATCTAATATTTAAAAACAGGTTTAGATTCAGCATTTGAAAGAACCCTATGTATATTTAATTTATGTTGAAATGAAACAGTTTAATGTTATCCATATAATTTTCTGCTCAAAGGGAAATAACTCAAACTGAATAAATTATAAACACATAGTTCTCTAAAATTAGATATGATTTAACAACTATTTTCTAAAATTAGATATGATGTTACACAATATTTATCTATTTTTAAATTATAATCAAATATAATTAATAGTTCCAAATATTTTTTTCTTTCATTTGTCACAATCTAATACAGATCTGCAATTGCAACTTATCTATCAATGTCAACAACTTTATCTACACAATGTAATGTAATGAAATATATCCTTTAATAAAAATAGATTATTATCTAATTAAAGGAGTTCACTACATCAAAAAAAAATTATATATATAGCATTCAGAAAATCAGTTTATACAGAATAACAAACAAACCTACCACAAAATTCTTCAATTTACCAAAGAAAAGAAAAAATATATCCAAAATGTCATTTATCATTAATACAATGTCTTTTAAAAATCTTTGAACAGAACATGCAGAATGGAGTAATTAATAAGAATTTTTAATCAAAAATTGGCTTCTTGAGAAAGGGCTATAACTCAACAACGAGAAAAGCTAAAATTGTGAAAATTGAACTTGACCTTCATTTAGTCACAGGAAACAACATATCTAAATTTGAAAAAATTTCGTCAAAGTGTTTTCATGTTAATGAATGGACACTGTTTGGCAGCAGCCTGCCTTCCCGCTCGCCCGCCGTACATCCCCAAATCAATAACCGATTTTTCCTTCGAAGATCCAGTTAAAAATTGAAATTTACAGGATAACACATTAATGCTGCTGCATAAATGATGGATCTATATAACTGTTTCCATTTTTGATTGATAGGAATTGGTTAAAACATTTATTCAGTGATTGTACAACGTATTTCATATTACTATTAGTAGGCTATTCCAGATTTGGACTGTATACTCCATCTTATAAAAGAAGCTGAAATTTCCTGACAATTTTTGCTCAAACTGATGATTATGGATTATTAGATTTTTTCAGTTAAAAAAAAGTAATATAAAATTTGTCATACATATTGGTCCTATATGTCATTGTAGGTGGAAATCCATACATATTTGCAAAATCTGAAAATTACTTTGCATACATATATTTTCTATAGGGGTACAGTATTTTTTGATAGCCTATTCTCAACTTTTGATATTAAAATTAAATGTACATGTACTTGTAATACATTAAAAGACATTTTCTATGTGGACTGGCTAAGTCTTTACTTTTTTGTACAAATGGTTACGACTTTGATTCGTAAAAAATAGTCTTATATATATTTTCGAACCATTTTATTAATTTAACATTCAAAACAACCGAATATTAATTTTGAGGATTTACTCAACTTTTTCAAAGAGCTAAACTCAGGTAACTCAGATCCAATTGACTTGCCAACTAATGATACAAATTTGATGAGTGAACTGAATGATAATTTAAATAGTCCTATTACGAAAGAAGAAATATTAAAATGTATTAGGAATTTAAAAAATAACAAAGCTTGTGGTGATGATATGATTATTAACGAATATATTAAGACTTCTGGCGATTTTTTTATTGATGTTTATGCTGCATTGTTTAACTTGATTTTTAGAACTGGAATAGTACCAGTATCTTGGGTGATTGGAACGATCAAGCCATTTTATAAAAACAAAGGCAATAAGTTTGATCCTAAAAACTATAGACCCATTACTATTGTAAGTTGTATGGGTAAATTATTTACAGCTATTTTAAGTAATAGACTTTCAAGGTTCTCTGATGAAGTTTTACTACTTAATGAAAATCAGTGTGGATTCCGAAATGGTTACTCAACTTGTGATTGTATCTTTACACTACACTCTTTTTTTGAAATTTTGAAATTAAAAAAGAAAAAAATGTTTTGTGCTTTTGTCGATTTTGAGAAAGCATTTGATACAGTGACTAGAGATGCTTTATGGTATAAGATGCTTGTAAATAATATTAATGGTTATATGTATAAAATTATTCATAACATGTATGATGATATAAAATCATGTTTGTCATACAATGGTGAGAAATCTGATTATTTTCCAAGCAACATTGGTCTACGCCAAGGGGAGAATTTATCCCCTTTTCTTTTTTCGCTTTTTTTGAACGATTTGGAAGATTTCTTTTGTAAAGGGAATTTGATAGGCTTTAAAACTATATCAGATGCCCTAGAAGACGAACTAGACTTATATGTTAAACTGTTTGCAATTCTCTACGCAGACAATACTGTTTTAATGGCTGAATCAACCACAGAACTCCAATTACTATTAGAAAAATTTGAATCATATTGTAATGTTTGGAAAATGAAAGTCAATGTAGACAAGACTAAAATCATGATTTTTTGTAGTGGTAGACAACCTGTTAACCTTAAATTTAATTTTGGTAACTCTGACTTAGAAATTGTTAATGAGTTTAATTATCTTGGGATTTATTTTTCTAAAAATGGCTCATTTAAAGCAAATAAGAAGCATCTTGCTGAAAAAGCAACGAGAGCAATGTATGAAGTTATCAAAAAAGGTAGAAAGCATGGCTTATCAATAAGCTGTCAATAAGATTTATTTGATAAATTGGTTAAACCTGTTTTACTTTACGGCTGTGAAATTTGGGGATTTGGAAATAATGATATATTAGAAAGAGTTCATTTGAAATTTTGTAAACTTCTACTCCATCTAAAATCTTCCACCACGAATTGTGTTATTTATGGAGAATTAGGACGTTATCCTATTAGCTTAGATATCAAAGTTCGCATGATTTCATACTGGGCAAAGTTGATTTTTAGCAAACCCAGTAAATTATCAACAATAGCATACAAATTAATGTTTAGTTTATCTCATGGAAATAATGTTAAATTTTATTGGATGAAATGTATAGAATCTATTCTAAATGATACTGGTTTATCTTATGTATGGTTAATTCAAACTTGTATAAATGAAATTTGGTTAAAGACTGTTGTTAGAACATCTCTCCAAGATCAATTTAAACAATCATGGTACTCAGATATTCAAACGAACTCAAAAACATTAAATTACCGCCTTTTTAAGGAACTTTTCGGATTCGAAAAGTATTTAGATATTTTGGAACCCTGTGATATTTATACTTTATGTCAATTTAGACTAATTAACCACAGATTGCCGATAGAAAGTGGTAGATGGAAAAAAATTCAGAGAGATAAAAGAATATGCGAACTATGTGACTTAAAAGATCTTGGAGATGAATCCCACTATGTAATGAATTGTAAATTTATGGCTATAGAAAGACAAAAGTATATTGATAAAAAGTATATTAATAATCCGAATATAATTAAATTTAAGGAAGTAATGAATATGACAAAACAATCATATTTAAAAAAGCTATGTACATTTATAAGGCATATTAATTCGTGTGTGTGTTCTCCTGGCTAAATTCAACTTAGATTTGTAAATAGTGTACATATCATGTTTATTTTAATTTATAACTGTACTATTTATTACATGTAACTTCTGTATACCATTGTATTGACGAAGGTATGTCAGAATAAAGATATACTAACGCATAACTGTTCATTCAAAAACTTGATAATGGTTGCAGATCGCCAATTAGGATTTTCTTCTTTTAATTTGCAAATGGACAGTACCGTTGCAATGTCCCCTCCCCTCATGTAATATGACATTATTTAATTGTTAAGTTATAGTTAACTCTTTTTCCCAGAAAGATACGCAATTTCAAAAATCTGCCATAGATTTGGAGAAAAAAAAAAAAAAATGCCATAGATCTATGATTTGTATGGCATTTGTGACGTCATATTTGCCATAGATTTAGATCTGCCATAGATATGGAACCCACCATAGATGCGAGTCCTACATATATATTAGGTGAAATGCAATAATGAGAAATATGTAAACCTAATGCTTTGTATTAATTTAAACAGAAGTTAATATATACAATGATTTCTGAATTTCTTAGTAATCACTTGAAATGTAAACACACAATTTATAAAGCATAATACATTTAAGAGGAAAGAGAAAACATACAAGTATTGGTTTAATAACAATAATGTGATTTTTTTTCTCTCTTATCATATGTTCATTCTAATTTTACCATGAAACTTGTCTCCGTTGAGTCTGTGTAGTATTCTCTAAATAAATGCACAGGTCAAGACTATGTCACTGTTATAATTTCAATGGACATGTAATTTCATTTTGATTCCAATCAGATAATAATCATGGTAACAATTTACAAATGTTTCTTTATCTATTTAATAATTACAGGTAAATTAATAAACTGTATTCATTATGGTTACTTCATTATAATCTAATTTAACAAATGTAGTTTGATATAGCCACAATTAAATAATTACCCTATAAATAAAGATATGCTTAATCACACGAAACAATATGAAACATTAAGTGAATTTTAATTTTTCATACAATAAATATAAGTATTTTAAGGAGGGCACAATTTCCATACTAGGAAAGATGCTCCCCCCCCCCCCCCCCCTCAAAAAAAAACATCAATAATAATAAAGCATATTCATTATGGATTCTATTTAAGCCACATAATTTACTTCATCTGACTTTTTGTCAGTTATCAACAATAAATCTTAATATGAAAATATTCAATTTAAGTGTATACAGTTTAAAACACGTTTCATTGCCTAAGAAGTGAACAATATTGTAATATATTATCATAAATGTATACATGTCAATCTAATTAAGAACCTGACCAAATAAAATGTTCTGCCTTTTCTAAAACAATTCTAGTTTACCTTTCTTCTTGCATCAAATGTTACAAACCTACAGTTTGCTTCCTAATATAATCTTATCATGTCATACATGTAGACACCTTACAACAAGTTATGTCATGATTACAATGTTTCATATGTAAATCAAATAAAGGATGTGTTTGATTATGAATGCCATCAAGTTCCCTTATTGATTATAACCCTTAGGCTATTCTTTTAACGGTACATATATCTGGGTAATCTACACTACAAAAGTAACACGCATGAATCTTACAAATATAACGTAAACAAAGTGCATTGTCTGTTTTTCCTCTGTATTTTATGTTTAAGGGAGCATTTTTCAAAAACATATAATTAAAAGTTTTTATGTGCACCCTTTTGCCTACTATCATGTCTTCGTTTACCTGTTTTTGTTTGTTAACTGTACAAATTCTAGGCAGTTAAGTTTGAACGGATCCCGTTCTTGTTCAAAGATGGATTATTGCTTTGCATTCTGGGTAAGCGTCAGAATAAAAACAAACATTCAAATTGCATTTAAATTAAAAATATTAAATGAATACATAGTTCTTGACTATATACTATTAGATTTATAATTTTGTGCAAAGATAATAAAAAATAAAATAGTTTTGCAGCATAAATTGCTTAGATACGCATAGAAACGACGTAAACTGTAACCTACTTCCGGTGAAGCTGTCAAACTTTTTGTCAAAACTTAATCAAAAAATATTTTGACACGATGGCTGCTGCTGTGACAAAAGGGACAGAGAGGGAACCACCTAATTTTGTTCATCAAAATGCAATTTTATGTGAAACAATAATGAAAGAACAAAGACACCAAAAATTATATACAAACTACAGTGTTAATCCATTCAAAAAACGTAAGAATATTTTTAATGCACAATCTTTCAATTAATTATTAAGTATTATGGGTTTTCGTGTTATTAAGAACTCATTGTGACATCACATTTTCCATTCAAAGAGCACTCAGAGTGTGAATTTATATGACAAACAAAAACATATGATCTGATCATAACGCATTTTCCCAGGTGTCACAAATAACACAAAGCAACTATCTTCAGGTGACAATGTCCTATAACATGTTTTCTCCAACTGTCCCCAGTTTAACTGTGGTAGTTCATTTCAGGGACTTTCTATACTATATAGGTGGACATTTCTTTATTCCTGAAATTTTTTATGTCATTTTTCTTTATTTTTTATGGACACTTAGTATAATCAGATGATTTAATTTCTATAAATTTATTGATTTAATAGTAAATAAACTTTCTTGTCTCTAATATTTTTCTTCTTGTTGCTTCTTGACGCTAAAAATCTGTCACTAATTAGTTAGACAGTAAAACAGCAACCTTTTTAAAATGAATGTTGCTTTGTACAAGGAATATCTATAGATTAAAACATGACCTTTACCAAATTGACCCTCCTGAGACTCCTTTTTCAGCCCAAGACACAAATTGAGGGCTGATATAGGAATCAGGTCTGTTCTCCCACATAACAAATGTCTGTTGGCTGGTTTCATGTCGTTTCTTCCAGTTGATCTGGCCTTAGTCAATATAGCCTATATTTGAAGTTTAAATTAGATTATCTACAAAATGGTGTATAACACGCCATTTCTGTTGTCGGAATCATTCGCAGCAGTCCTTCCAAGAAGGTAATCTGTAAATTATTTCAACATCTCACAGTCAAATGGCAATATTAATCTCGCAGTGAACGATTAATTGTAAAAAGTATATCCCAAAAACCTGTAAGTTTTTCTCTGAATAGAAATTATCATCCGGATAGTAAATTTGCAAAAGATACCGTGATAAAAAATCTAATAAGTGATCTTTTTAGAATGTCTAATGAATGACGAGTTTCTATATTTAAACTCAAATTTCCCCATTCCATCAATGTCATTCAGACTTTCTCTGGACTTTACATATACAATTGAGATAACTCCAAAAACATTTATTTTTAGAAAGAAGGTTGACCAATCAGAAAAAAGATATATATAATTAATCACTCACTGCTAGATTTGTAATTTGGCTATGAGAAGTCGAAATAATAATTACTGATTACCTACTTGGAAGAACTGCTACAAATGATTCCCACAACAGAATTAGGCGTGTTATACATGTACATCATTTTGTAGATAATTTAATGTAGATTTACGACATAAAAAGTTTCAAAGGATTAGACAACCACTGAATTGAAATATAAGGGAAGTTTGCAAACTGGGTGTCATTTATTGAAAATACGAGTTGTGATATTATTAAAGGTATATAGGTAAAACATATTTTTAGAATCAACCACCTGTCACACAGTCTGGAGTTAAATCTAATTTTCAGACATACAATTATTTTTCAAACCTTCATGGAATGTTACGAATCTTGGACAGTAGCTTCTTTGTGATCAAAAGTAGCATCTAAAGAAAAAAATTGAATGAATACTTTTATTTTACCGTACTGTTAAGTTTTGGTGTCAATATCACTCTTTTACACTGACATCATGATCAGCAGGCAAGACACAGGGCCCTGTGAAACCTTTATGCATTTTACAATTTGTACAACTAATGTTTCTGGATTAACCTTCACCAGGTATAAACAGTTTGATCTATGATTACTTAACCATTGTTTAGAACTATTTTGACCATTGGTTAAAAACTACTTGCAAATATTAATATCTTTACTTAATTTTTGCAGTGCATGTGCTTTCTGGAAAACCAAACTCAAGACATGACACAGAGGAAGGTGAAGAGGATCGTAAGTATTCATTGTTCAGTTTCGTATCTACTAATTCACTGAGATTCGTGAACCTTGTTTTATCATGAGTTGTTGGTTTGCCCCCGATAGTTTAACAGAGTTTATTTACCTTTTACACATTTTAAATCTGACAAAAAATTGTAAACTAAAATTTGAAATTTGAATGAGGCTCTCCTAAGGATGCATTCAATGTTAATAGTCATTTGATGGTGATAACACTTGATGAATGAATGTTCAATATTTTATGTATATTAATCCTTTCCTTTTTAAATTTATTTCCCATTTTTGATACAGGCTTTTTGTGGACTGTATATTTTTCAGATATAAAATATTATGACAAATTTTGTGTATTTGTATATTTTAGAACATTTTCTAAAAGTAATAAACAGAGCCAACCAAGAACCAGTAAAGAAATATACATACCCACAAACAGAATCACAAGAATATGGCTGGATAACAAAACCATTGGTAAGATATCCTTATATGTGGATTGGTGATATGTGCAGTGACAATCATGTTGTAAAACTAAACTACAATCAAAGCACTGTTAGCGCTGTAGGCAGTTAACCAAAAACCAAGGCAAACGTAATTATGAAAACTGTGGCAGTGTTGCTTCAATATTTTTTTAAGATTTGAAGGAACAAACATTAAACATTCGTATATTGTACATTTATGTTCATTAAATGAATTGATTATTAAGGCAAATTAATTAAATTTCATCAAGGTTTTCAAAAGCAACTCATATATCAATGTAAATGACCCCCATCTTCACCCCCAAGTGCATGATGTTACTCCATACCAAGTTTGGAATAAAATGACAGGTGATTATAAAACAGTTGGTCAAACATTCTCGGGCTTTACACTGCTTGAAAGATTTATATGTTTTCTTTAAAATGAGCCATAAATGAAAATTATTATAGGTCAAGAAATAATTTAATAAATAATTAAAGTAAATTCAATTAACCTAGACTCATTTTTTGCATCAATAAAATTTTATAATAAACAAGAAATAATTGTAACAGGATGCCGTTACGAAGTTTCCCAAACAAAGCCCCCATAATTCGTCATTCCCATGGTCTCCTGACATTGGGCAAAGTCCAGTTCATATTGGTTTGGTCTAGTAAAATGATATGCATATGTGACACCTAGGAGATTGACCCTGTATGTTATTCAACGGCGTTTTGCATTTGCGCCGATTTTTTCTTTCATTTGCGCCGATCTTTTCTTTCATTTGCGCCGATTTTTATTTTCATTTGCGCTGATTTTTTTACAGGTAAATTACAGGTAAAATACAGGTGAATGTTATTATTCATTTATCATTATAGACCTCTTCCGTTCGCCAGTTGTACAAATGTTATGAATTGTCAATCATAACATGCATATAACTGTTGTCCTCTGCTCACCACGGAAAGGTGGAAGTAGGATTTTGAGCAGGATGAGTCAATTTAAAAGCACTATGTTCACATACTTTAAAATCAAGAAGTAAAAACCTAAGATAAAAGCACTCTGTTTTTACTCTGTTTATACTAAAATGACGAATTAAAAATCTATTTACAACATTAAAATCCATAAAAACGGAATACATTCAAATCATAAATCTGTTCTTGCCGAGTATTTATAGGCAACACATCTAATATATTCCTTTGTTGTGATTTCGTCTCTATATTTATCGTAATTGTCAATAACGAAGTCCATCTTTTCTTTCTCTGGCTAACTTACTGATGCGGGCATTTCTAGAGTTCGCATTTTAACATACGTAACGGCCTGGATTTTCTTAACTTAAACATAAGTGAACAACGTTTATAACCAGATTTTACCAATATACATTCAAGGTATATATAGTACATGTACAAATATTTACTCACCTGTGTTAAAATGTAAATGCAATTAGGAGCAAATATAAAATCGGCGCAAATGAAAAAATGAAATCGGCGCAAATGAAAGAATGAAAATTTTAAAAATCGGCGCAAATGTCATACGCCCTCATTCAAATCTTTTTGAAATCATGAACAGGAATAAATATGGTTTAGGTGTGGGTATCTCAACCGTTTACAAGTTCTCAAACAGGAGGGGGTAGAGTGACCCCAGGGACTCCCAAAATATTTCATTTGATTTGTTATATTGTCCCATACATTAATACATATGGTTTAGGGGTCGGGATCTCGACTGTTTACAAGTTCTCAAACAGGAGGGGGTGGGGTGTCCCCATCGACTCCTATATTTCATTTGATTTGTTTTATTGTCCCATACATGAATATATATGGTTTAGGGGTGGGGATCTCGACCATTTCCAAGTTCTCAAACAGGAGGGGGTGGGGTGACCAGAGGAACTCCCCATATATTTCATTTGATTTGTTATATTGTCCCATACATGAATATATATGGTTTAGGGGTGGGGATCTTGACTGTTTTCAAGTTCTCAAACAGGAGGGGGTGGGGTGTCCCCAGGGACTCCCCCTATATTTCATTTGATTTGTTTTATTGTCCCATACATGAATGTATATGGTTTAGGGGTGGGGATCTCAACCATTTCCAAGTTCTCAAACAGGAGATGTTGGGGTGACCCCAGGGACTCCCCATATATTTCATTTGATTTGTTATATTGTCCCATACATGAATATATATGGTTTAGGGGTGGGGATCTCGACCATTTCCAAGTTCTCAAACAGGAGGGGGTGGGACGACACCGGGGACTCCCCCAAATTATTTTCATTTGATTTCTTTTATTGTCTCATACAAGTATATATATTGTTTAGGGGTGGGGATTGCGACAGTTTACAAGATAAAAGTACATTTTCAAATTAAAGGGGGTTGGGATGATCCCCAGGGACTCAACCTATATTTTGGTTGATTGTTTTTATTGTCCTGTTCTCATTACTGAAGACTGCATATGTCTATCACTTACTGTTTTCGAGAAATAGTCATTTGAAAATTAAAAAAAATAAAATCCCATAGGGTTCTATAGTAAACCCTTCCCTTCTTCAGGCCCCTCCAAATACCCCTTAATAGACCCCAATGCACAAACAAAAGATTAATGGCTCCGCTAGACATGTTAGTCTAATATTTTATGAAACCCTAAGTAAATCTGACAAACGGTCAAAGTTGTCTTTTTAGACGGTTTGAGTGTATTCTGTCCGACTTGTCTCGGGGACGAGTTGTCCACATTACCTAAAACTTCCCATCAACGTCGATTTCCGCATCTGTTTCATGACCTCGTCTCATTCATAAAATAACAACAACCTTATTTGGCAAGATAAGTTAAAAATGACCGCTCACTGATATAACTTTATTTCCTCTATCATAGAGATTTGTTGTACATGAACAATATTCCTGCGCATTTTGCCATTTGCGAAATATGAACGACTTGTAATTAGAGATTTTCGGCGATGAAATAGTTCATACAATTGTTCTTTGACATCGTACCCAAAAGCACAGGGGATAATAAACTACGAACGGATTTCTATTGAGCACTACTTCCTATGTGCAACTTCAAAAGTTTTGGGTAGTTCGACGATCATTTAAGGTTTTTCTGGTCATATTTTTTGTATTCCAGAAATAAAAGTATTAAAAAAATGTCCAATTAGTTATAAATAACATAATAGCCAGCTAGATAATAACAATGGCACGTATTTCAGCATTTATTGGGTAGAACACAAATCTAGGGTGCTCGCATAAGGCATCTTAACTGCCTAAAAAAACCAAACAATATTCTTTTATCCCATTTTATACTGACAAAAAATAAATGTGAAACAGAAACATGATCACACATTGAATATAATTTTTAACTGGATTTCAGAAGGAAAAATCAGTTATTGATTTGGGGATGTACGGCGGGCGGGCGGAAGCCAATCAGTCTCCGTTCATTAACATGAAAACACTTTGACGAAATCTTCTCAAATTGAGTTATGTTGTTTCCTGTGACCTGAATGAAGGTCAAGTTTGATTTTCACGATTTAGCTTTTATCGTTGTTGAGTTGTAGACCTTTCAATAGTGAAAAGTGATACTTAGAGCATTGTCCGTGCAATAACTTGATAACGCTTTGACGAAATCTTTTCAAATTTAGATATGTTGTTTCCTGTGACTTAATGAAGGTCAAGTTTAATTTTCACAATTTAAGCTTTTATCGTTGTTTGTACACCTTTATGTAGGGCAAAGTGATACTTAGATTGATTTTGGCCTTTCCATTTCTGAACCCTACAAAAATTCATTATTTTTGCAAATGTCATTTTCATGCAGGAAAATCCAGTTTGCTGTCACTCTGACAGCCTCTTGTTTAAAAATGTTACGTAAAATTACTCTGTAACACAGTTTTTGTCCTCCAAATTAAATCATTGTTTGTTTGTTTAATATGTGGTGTCCTTTGATGTACAAAATCCTCTGTTACTTTTAACATTTTGTACCTCATGATACACAAAACATACAAAAAATTACTAATTTTGATTTACATATTTTTTATCAAAATAAAACATATCAGTGAAATTTGATTTATGAAAGCGATTAGTATTTACTGAAACACTTTATTTTACATTCTTTCTTTGGCCAACCTTAAATCTCAAATTTAAATTTATTTGCTTCGACTGTGATTAAGAATGAGTCTTGCCACCATTTTCTGGTTGTCCAGAATTTTTACTTAGCTAATTTAATGTATATAAAATCAACTAACAGTCATAAATTGAAAATAAAATTAAAAGATAGGACTTGTTGCTGTCAAAATCATTCAACTGTCTATTTTTATGGTTGAAGTCATTAATTTCTGCATGGAAGTTAATGGATTGAAAATATTAATTATGTTACCATATGGCTTGAAGCAGTTAGGTTGTATCTGTATCAATAATAACTGTACTGTTAGTTTAATTTGTGATGCAGATTCAGTGATTAAGTTGATGTCATAATGAAAACTAAGTGGACTGTGACAAAAGTCAAGCAATACTACACACTGTTACTGATCTGGTCAACTTTTAGGTCTAGTCTGTGGTTACAATTTGTTAAATTTGTTAAACCTTCATTGAATTTTTACAAAACTTGGATAGAACATTATTTATGATCATTAGATAGCAACTAGAGCAAAATATTTCAACAGAATACTTTAACACTGACAGCAGCAATTGCAGATCAGACACAGGGTCCTGTGGAACCCTTTACCAATTTTTCAAGTTTTGGTAAAACCTAGAATATGAAGACGAATTAAATATTCAGTTGAATGATAATTCATTAAGTTAGCAGGATCTTGATGTCATAAATCCTATGTTTAATATTATTTTCATATCTCTAAACAAATCAAATGAAACTGAATTACAAAATATGGAGTTGTCTAAGCTTCATGATATAATGGATAAATTTCATTTACAGATAGAAAAAGATAGATCAGACAGAAGAATTAACTTCCCAAGACAAAATACTGCCATTACAAAATATATGGATGCTGCATGGAGAGTGAAGGAGCAGACTGAGAATATGAATTGATGACAATCTGTTTTAACTCTGACAAACACTATACTCTATTGATAAATCACAAACATCATGCAATATTTAAAATTTTCAACATGGGATAAATGTTGCAAAAATTGTCTCCCTTTAGTTCAATCTTTCAAGTGATGGTAGCATTTATTTCATATACTAGATCATTATATAGTATTTTTTTGTAAATGAACAATAAGAATAAAAACAAATGGTACTATATTCTGAAAAGTCAAATTTACAAATGTGCTGATAAAGGTATTTATTTTCAATATCAAATATTATTTCACTTTACCAGTAAACTTTAAGGCAACTAAGCCACAAATCTGCTGATGACCATAGCTAGGAGTAAACATAATGAATATCAATATGATATTATAAATTATGTTCATACTTCAATATTATACTGTTATGTTATAAGATACTGTTTCTGTAGATCTTTGAATGGAGCCAAATGATTAGAAATGTGAGGTTTTATCTGTTGAATTTAGATCCAGTTCTTTTTAACAATCATATGATCTATTATTACACAGAAGCCTAAATGACCAATTACAGTTTGAACCAAATTTTGTATGTTTTATGAAAATTTGTTACATTTTATAAAAGCATTTTGTTTTAAATATAAGTTTTATTGTGTACATAAAATATCTCTTGTTTTTAATTAAAAAAAACTTTAAAGAGAGTTTATTCACCTTCCTTGTCCCTGTTCTCTTCATATACACATAGGTTCAACCACTGCAACGAGTGTGGCAATATTTTTCTACATCGAGACTATTCAATTTTCTGATTTAAAACTTGAGGTTTGTCTAGCTACGAAATATATAAAAAATGTAAAGTATGATTTTTTTTGTTCAATCATTAATGAAAGTGAAATAGTGAAATAATAATTTGGTTTTAGCAGCCAGTATGGTTCAATTTTGTCAAATTAAGCTAAGAAACATTGATGATGAATTATTCACTTGCAAGTGAATAATTCGACCTCATTGAATCCGTATTCATGTGAACTTCAGTTTAACCCCTTAGCTAGAGACGGATAACGCATGAATTGTGAGTGTTTGGTTATTTAAAGGAAAAGAATGTCAACATTGAAAGTGAAACAAAGGTAAATCATTTGATTGACTGATTCGATCCACAGAAAATCATTCTTTTACAGGTAAAATCGATGATTAACATATTTTTAATCTACAATATGAAATTAAACAGACCTAGAAAAATCCAATTGCACGAGTTTGCTTTCTATTTCTATCTATATTTATGTTTATATCGCTTATATGACCATCAGAGGTGTTCGGAGGTCAACTCGATAGTTAATTAGATAGCGTCAACACTAAAATACACACGAAACGAAGCTACATATTATGGAGCCCATGCCCTGTAAATTGTTTATTTTAGACTTTTTAAAATTTGGATAAATGTTTTACATGGTTCTAAATCAAATATAAGAATTTGAGTCAAATGGGTGAACATAAATTTGACAGCTAGTGCCCCTTTAAGTATTTAAGATTGAACTATCAAGAGTGGAGAAGCATTGTATTGCATAATATTTAGAGGTGGAATATTTTTCTAATGATTTAAAGGCAAAATCTGTTTCTTTTCAATGATCTGCAATAAGATGTGTTCTTCCTATATGACATCATCAGACATGGTCACCTTTTTTAGTAACATCATTTTAACAAATCAATATATATATAGGAAAGCAAGATCATTTGACGTCATAATGAACCACATGTTGATTATAAAAAAATAATCAACCAGTCTGGGAAAGTGTAAATTGGCTAAAAATGATAGAATCATGTACACAAGGCTACAACCAACACATATTCATTCTTTGATATGGTGTAATCATCACCTATATTGAATCTAACCTAAACATTTACTATGTTTTCAAATACATGTAAATGGCAGTTGGTAATTATTCACTTTCGTCCATATCAAATAAAAGTTATGAAAGTGTTTAATATTCTCCTTTCACAGAATCAGCAATGCTACATAACAGTGGTTATAAGCACTGTGCTACTTAAAAGTTTTAGATTATTCCAGAAAAAACCCTTTTTAATTCCCTGTTTCATGATCCAGAGAATTATGGGTAAATTCCTGATTTCATACACCACAGTGAAAAAGATTGGTTGTATTTCCATTGGTCGGAAATTGTTAACAAAACTCAATATTAATCAGAATGCTCCCCCACCCAGTAAGTTTATCACGAAATGTTCTACATTGAATAGTCATAGATTTTCTAAAATAAACAACAATGAATCAAGAACCTCATCTTTAACTCCTCAATATACAAGTTTACATCAAACATTTTTTCAGCACAAAAAAAATTGTGGACAAGGATAATTTCAAGAAATTTTCTTACTCCTTAGGTTATAATTAATAAAAAGAAACTGGAATTAACTATTTCCAATTGTATCTGAAATTCACCTAAAAAGTTGTTGACATGACAAAGATGTCAGGACTGTTGCACGCCTGCCATTTGAAAAACAAAATGCCTCAGCTGTTTAGTCACTTGGACATTAAAATACTGAACATGCTTACATCTACGTAATTTGGTCACTGGTGGATAGTTGTCTCTTTGGCAATAATCTTATTTTCCTATTAATGATAAGAGTGAGGGGCCTTATAAGAGGGGTATTTCTGTACCCATATCATAACCACAAGAAAAGGATGACCTTAATAATTTATTTTCAATGCCATACAACGAAATGATACAGCCAATTTTCATTGAACTTAGTAATCATGAAGTGAAGTTGATGCTTTTGTTTTTCAAAGAAAGAGATCATAGATCCAGATAAATTTATTGTGAAAATAAGGACATCATGGGTTGGCTGAACTTGCATAAAATTGCATAAGACAGGAGCAGACACTAATTAAGACTTTTCACTAGTGTTTCAGGTTAGGGTGAAGGTTGGCACCTGTTAAAATGTTTAAACCTGCTGCATTTGTATGCACCTGTCCTAAGTTGGGAGCCTGTTGTTCAGTAGATGTCGTTTGTTGGTGTGGTTCATAAGTGTTTCTCATTTCTAGTTTTTTATATAGATTAGACCATTGGTTTTCCTGTTTGAATTGTTATACACTAGCCATTTTTGGGCCCTTTATAGCTTGCTGGTCGGTGTGAGCCAAGGCTCTGTGTTGAAGGCCGTACTTTGACCTATAATTGTTTACTTTTTATACATTGTGACTTGGATGGAGAGTTGTCTCATTGGCACTCATACCACATGTTCTTATTTATATTTTAGTGTAAAATAAAAGTTCTCAGTAGTTTGTCAAAATTTACAAAAACAGGATCAAAGTTTAGCTGGTGTATACTGAGATGATTCAAGCTTTTCCATGAATATTTTTCAATTTGGTATAGTGGTTTCCGATCTGATTTAAATTAAATCTCTGCACTCGCTCATTATTTTTATTCTTGGTTGCTGGGATTGAGTGGTTTCAGATAAAACTTGCATTTTCCAGGTTACTTTTTCACAACATTTTCTAAATAAAAGGAACGTTATTTGAGGCTATCATACTTCAGGAAAACATCGTCCTAAAAATGTGCTGATTATTATACTGAAATTGTTAAATAAGCGGTAAGGATTATTTCTACCACATTGGGTACAAATTGGTTGATCTAATCCTTCAAATGAATATAAAGTATAGCCCAAATTGTTTGTTCAAAAATGTCAGGTAATTCCAGAGGAAAACTTTTTTCATAAATAATGTCTCACACTAGGTTTTATCACAATCAAAACGTTGTATTTGGATTACCTCCCTTACACTGCTTTTAATTATGTTTTGTACTAAAGTATTTGTCCATTAACCAGGACACCCTTGTTTTTCCCCCTTTTTTGTCCCTAATTCCTTAACGGTTTGAGCCATAACCCCCAAAGCAAATCCTAACCATCCCTTTGTGGTATGGAAACTTGTGGTATGATTTCAGAGAGATCCATACACCGTTCCACAAGTTATTGTCTGGAAACTAGAAAAATGCTTATTTTTGGCCCCTAATTCCTTAACTATTGGTACCATAACCCCCAAAATCAATCCCAACCTTCCTTTTGTGGTATTGAACCTTATGGTAAAATTTCATAGAGATCCATTCACTTAAACTAAAGTTATTGTGCGAAAACCAATGTGTCTTCGGACAACGACAACGACGCCAACGTCATACCAATAAACGACCGCAAAATTTTTTTGCAGTCGTATAAAAATGTCAATAATAGGGTACAGCAGTCAACATTGTTTTATAATCTTAATCACTATAAAAACAAACAAATATGTAAAAAAGAAACACAAAAAGGCATATAGACAAAGCACATTAGCAAAAATGAAAGACAAGAATACAAAAATTTACCATAGCACAATAACACAACGACGGGATACAAAGTCCCCTACCGGTTAAAAATTCATTGTCCTGGAACAAAACTTACTTGATCTATAACTTGTTATGGTGTAAGCTATATAACAAATATCAAGTCAATATCTTCAAGCGTGACAAAAAAAAGTGTGAAAAACGGATTATTTAAGTGAATTTTCTAAGTCCAAGGACCATAACTCTGCAAAAAAATCACCAGACCGGAAACAAAATTCGAACTTGATCTGTAACTTGTTATGATAAAACTATATAGCAATTATCAAATCAATATCTTGAAGCATGACCAAAAAAAGTGTGGAAAACTGATTATTTGAGTGAATTTCCTAAGTCCAAGTACCATAACTCTGCACAAAATCATCAGACTGGAACAAAATTCAAACTTGATCTGTAACTTGTCATGATAAAACAATACACCAAATATCAAATCAATATCTTCAAGCACAAAGAAAAAAAGTGTGAAAAACTGAATTGCCGGACTGACGGATGGACAGACAGACAGACAGACGGATGGAGTGCAAACCTAAAGTCACCTTCCACTTCGTCGGTAGAGGAATAATTAAAGTAGATTAGTGTGACCATGTTAAATAATCAGGCAACATTGTATCAACAGATATTTTAACTTGTTTATTGATTAAACTGAACATATGAGTCCACTTTTGAATTCATGTATGGTGTTTATCTCATTTACAATATGGAAAATATATATAAAACAATAATGAAGCAACTAGCATTACAGAACAATTGTCTATTTGAAAATCAAATACATATACCGGTATATTTATCTTAATACAAAACATCTTTATTTTCATAAAGATTTTGTACTGTTCGGCATTAAAAAATGTCACTTTTTTGCTAGTTGCTAAACAATCTAAATGGTACATGTTTATTCAGTTGTAAGCTTTCACATGTCTCATCAAATTCAAACTGTTTATAGCTGGAATATCATTTTCATCTTTTCCTGTTTTTTATGTTCTGTCTTCTTGACTTCCCAGGTCTGTTTTGTGTTGTCTGTAAAAGAAAAAATAGAAGCGTCGAAAAACTCACAATCACAAGAATATTGGCACGTTATTAATTTATTTCTTACTGACAATGCTTCCCAAGGTAGAGTCAATCCAGGAATCCTTGATCTAAAGGAAGTCCATGGCTTCAGAGAAAGATTTTAAAATAGATTCACATAGGGTCTTTTTAACATATGGATCACAGATATAAGGCATGACTTATATGGCTAATAGGTCCAATAAATCGATTACTTATATTTTGAATATGTTTTCCTTTGTTTTGATTTATGCATTTTGACAGCCTAATTGATTAAATATTCAAATCTGTTTAGGTCAGTTATTTAATTTTTCAAGTTATCCAATAAATCATAAAAAAATTGTAATTTCTTTTTAATGTTTTCTTTAGGACTCCAAACATCACTTGTTGAGGGCATTTCCCAAAGTAAAGACCCTTCAAAATGGAAAAAAATAATTGCAAAATAACTAGTTTCACCATTTTTAAAATTTCACAAACACTTACAACACATGGTTGTAACACACAATTTAAGAAAAGAGAATTATCTCCCCTTAACTGTAATTACACATAACACATAAAAGATAACACTAGTTGTTAACCATATTTATTGTAAAGACAGTTTGATCTGGAAGTGTTTTTATTTTTGTTTTGTTTTTAGAGTTAAAACAAGAATGTGTCCATAGTACACGGATGCCCCACTCGCACTATCATTTTCTATGTTCAGTGGACATGAAATTGGGGTCAAAACTCTAATTTGGCATTAAAATTAGAAAGATCATATCATAGGGAATATGTGTACTAAGTTTCAAGTTGATTGGACTTCAACTTCATTAAAAATCTACCTTGACCAAAAACTTTAACCTGAAGCGGGATGGACGGACAGAAGGATAAACGAAAGAAGGAACGGATGCACAGACCTAAAAAACATAATGCCCCTAGGTGGGGCATAGAAATTTGCTTCCTGTTCACATCAAAAACAATTCAAGCAAAACAGCTTAATTTAGATTATTTAATTTAATTTCCTGAGCAATTTTTATTTCAGATATTAGATTATTTGTTGTTTTATATTAGCTCTTGTAAACATATAAAGTTGACACTTTTTAGGAATGGTCATACCATGTGAAGTTTCTGCTGTTAATCACAATCTGTTAATTTTAGAGCCAAAAAAAATAAATGTGGAAAGTGTCCACATGTGGAAAGTGTCCACATGTGGACACAGATGATGCCCCCGCTTGCATATCATATAGTTATAAAGGGACATAACTGAAGAACAATAAAAGTGACGCTACCCAAATTTGAACTTGAACTGAGTTTTGTGGTAATAAGCATTGTGTGTAAGTCTCATAACATTTGGTTGAGGCTAACTTAAGTAGAGAACAGAAACTAAAAATTCAGCAATTTTTCTATTTGTAAACACGCATAACTCTAGAACGGTTGTGTGTAAGTTTTATAACATTTGGTTGAGACAAACTAAAAAATTCAGCAATTTTTATGTTTATAAAGGGACATAACTCAAGAATGGTTAAAGTGTCGCCACCAAATTTCGTACTTAATCTGTATTATGTAGTAATAAGCATTGTGTATAAGTTTCATAACATTTGGTTGAGGCAAACTAAAGTTAGAAATCAAAAAATTTGTACTTGATCTTAGTTTTGTGGTAATGAATATTGTGTATAGGTTTCATAATGTTTGGTTGGGGCAAACTTAAGTTACAGAATGGAAACTAGAAATTTTGCAATCTTTCGAATTATAAAGGGGCATAACTCAATAATGGTTAAAGTGACACTACCCAAATTCAACTTGATCTGTGTTTTATCACTGGAAGTCAAAATTAAACATTGCATTGTATAGAGCATTGATTGTAGTTGATTCAACTATAATCATGGATAAAGGAAGATAACTCCAATTTTAAAATTACTTGACATTTAGAAGAAAATAAAAATTTTGCAATTTTTCACTTTATAAAGAGCCATAACTTTAGAACAGTTAGAGTGACGCCACCAAAATTCAAATTTGATCTGTGTTTTGTGGTAATAAGCATTGTGTATAAGTTTCATAACATTTGGTTGAGGCAAACTTAAGTTAGAGAACGGAAACTAAAAATTTTGCAATTTTTCCATTTATAAAGGGGTATAACTCTAGAACGGTTAAAGTGACGCCACCAAAATTCTAACTTGATCTGTGTTTTGGGGTAATAAGCATTGTGTATAAGTTTCATAACATTTGGTTGAGGCAAACTTAAGTTAGAGAATGGAAACTAAAAATTTTGCTATTTTTCCATTTATAAAGGTGGATAACTCTAGAACGGTTAAAGTGACCCCACCAAAATTCAAACTTGATCTGTGTTTTGTGGTAATAAGCATTGTGTATAAGTTTCATAACATTTGGTTGAGGCAAACTCAAGTTAGAGAATGGAAACCAATTTTGGGACGTTCAGACGGACAAGGGTAAAACTTAATGCCCCAACCGCTACGGCGGGGGTAAAAAAAATGAAAGAGAGATTTTTTTCAAAACAATTCAGTGCCACAAAATTAAATGAATTAACAGTACAGTCAAAGCATGACAGAGACATCATATAATTGGTCTGAAATTACTACTGGCAATAATTTAATGTAAAAGCAGACTGCAGCTATTCAAAATGGGTAAGTCAACAGGCATTCTGTCTGATATAAAGTACATGTGACAGTTTTAAGAAGTTATATAATCTGTTTAAGTTACAGTTGTATTAGGTATACTGTCTGTAAGCTTAAGGATTTGCTTGTCTAATTCATTAACAACTTATAAAAGATGCACATGTAAACTGTAACTGCTTTTACTTGAAGAATGACAGTTGATTGATTAAATGATTGATTGATGTATGCTTTTCAAGCCCAGTGACACACATTTTATCCCTATTAAGGACAAAAAGAATGTTGGCCAACATCAATTAATCACAATTTCAAAAATTAAGTTATTTTATTAAAAAATGTCAACCACTTATTTTGACCCAAATAGGAGGAATAAATTATGTATATACATTGTGTATATGTAACAAATGAATAATTAATATAGTGAATGGATAAGATCTAAGCTGACAGATAGTTGACATTACTTGTACAGTCCAACTATTTACCTTTTTCACTTTCTGTCCTGGTCTTTTCTGATTTACTCTTGGGTTAAAATCTGACATATCTCTTGCACTATCTGAAGTGTTTTGTTTTCCTCTCTTTTTCTGGCCTCCAAATCCAAATTTTTTATTTTTATATTCCCTTTTCTTATTTGACCTACCAAAATAAAAAAAGTTCACATATGTATCACTACATTCAAAATAATAATGAACATTAACTTTGCCTATAAAATTTATTCCCAAATATAGCAAATATTCAAACAGCTCAAAATAATTGATAGTTATGAATAAATTTTGTTTTTCTCTCAATTCATCAAAAGTTAACCTTGAACTGATTGAAGAAATTCCTGTAGGAATTCAGTTGAACTTCTTCTAGATATATAATTCCTTTTTATGAACAAATGTTGAATGCTTTCCATTTCAGTGTTTTGTCCAGGGTGCATTTTGTGCATTTTTGTTCAATATAAAGCATGCAAATTAAGTAACTGTGTTATTTTCACACTTTCAGTTTGCATTGTCAAGCATAACTATATAGTTTGTAGATCATGGAGCAAAATCCGATTAATGTATTAATAAATCTGGGTTTTTGGTTTTCATGACTTATCATCCGTATGTATGGTGGTGCTGCGTATGTATGAAGACCATTTCAAAATAAAATACATGAATACAACAGTAAACTGCGCTTTGAAGAAATTTGTAAGGTTCTCAAATATTGCACGGAAATAACTTAAAATACAATTTTCCAATCAATCAAGGACCATTACTCCTGAACGACAAAGTAAAAATTGTCAAGATTGAACTTAACCTCAATTCTGTCATCAGTAACAACCTATATTTTAAATTTGAAAAGCATTGGATAAAAACTTTTCAATTTATTCCACAGAACTGACTTTAAGTGCAATTTTCCAATTTATCAATGACCAGAACTCCTGAACAGCAAGAGAGAATATTGTCAATTTCAATCTTGATTTTCAATTTGCAATCAAAAACAACATACGTAAATTTGAAAAACATGGTTGAGCATGTAGTAAGTTGTTGTGCACAAACAGATTTAGTCTTCTGCCCAAACACACATGTTAGCCCCCAACCCATCATACACCCCAAATCAACTAGATTACCATGATTAAAACATTGAGCTGCCAACACATTAAAATTTGATAATTTGAACATCTTGAGTGGATTATAATTATAATCAGCATAGTATTTTAGTATGATCTACATTATCAACTTAATATATCAAACTTGAAATTTACTAGTTTTTGTACCCTTAGAAACATTTTTTTTCTTTAAAGACATTTCTTTTGGTTAGGTTATCTGATGTAGGATTTTAGATAAAATAAAATTTGCAATATAGTTTACAGTATCAAGATCAGAGTGATTTTTTTCTGTTTATACCTAAATTCCTTTTTATCTTTCTGTTTTCCACCTTGTTGTTTAGAAGCTGGTTTGTCTAGATCATCCAAAAAATCTAATTTGTTTTTCTGACCTGAAATATAGAATATACAGTAAGATATAATAAGAAGTGTTTTTAAGCTTTCCTCAACTTCTTCGTTTTAAAATAGACAATAGTTTATACCATATATGTTAAGCTCTAAATTATCACTAGCTAAGTTGTGAAAAAATTTAACATTGTATAAGAATAAACTGTTAACATAGAGATATGTCTCACCTTTTTGTTAATTTGATAGTAAAATGCAATTGCTGAAATTAAAACAGCAATTCTTAAACATATGTTATGCAAAAGTTTCAAAGTCAATGAACTTGAGATGTGCCAATGCTAATACATATGCATACCAAATATCATTGACCTACCACTAGTGTTTCCCTATAAACTGACCTAATCATAAATTAATACATGTAAACTAAGCAAAAGTTTCAAAGTCAATAGACTATGACTGAGGAGGTGGGGCCAAATATTGTCCATGGAAATGAGATGTGCCAATGCTAATACAACTGCATACCAACTATAATTGACCTACCACCAGTGGTTCCCCATAAACTGACCTAATCATAAACTAATACATTGTTGATGCCAATGCCATAAACAGCATACCTTTGTCTCGCTTTTTGACTCCATCAAGGTGAGACAAAAATCATGAATATCAATTTATTATTTGGCCAAAAAACACTAAAATATAACTATCAGAAATATGTTTACTTTAACATTGGGTTTTAAATGGTATTTCTTGCTGTCAATCATTGAATTTCACAACGTTCACAATGGCAGAGATTTTTAAAGTCTAACTGGATAAGAACAAATATTTTTCAACACATATTCTATCTATTTGAAAGTTAATAATCTGTGCGAAAAACTATTAAACACCATTTACCAATGAAAACATTTCCTGACATGTACTAGTGAGACATGCTACGTCAGAGATATGAAATCTTCATGTATTGCACACTTGAATTCAAAACATAGTGCATTCAAAAACTATAAAAATCCTCTCAAAAGAAATAAAATACAGTGAAATATATCATGCTTCTACAATAAAAAAGGATGATTTAACATTCTTAACATTCAAATAAAAAACTAATGTTCCAACCAATAAATTACCCTGAACATGCATGAAATATTTGCCATTGGATGTTAAACAATCAACAATCAATCAATCCAACCAATAAATTACCTTTTCTATATTTTTTCACTGCTTCCATCATTTCTTTTTTATCTTTCTGTCTTTTCAATAGTACTTCTTGTTGAACCTTGAATACAGTTTATACAAATGCATTTGCAAGAATTAAATAAAATATTTTTTATTAAGAATGAATCTTATAGAATTAAGACATGCATGCAATAACAAGAATTTAGTCTGTATTTTGCAGCTTAAAGAAAAGCTTTTAACACTCATGTTGAGATTGTCACGAGAACACAACATCCATACTATTGTACTTGTCCATTGTCGACGTAGTACTGTCAGTGTGACGCCTATGCGGAAATACGTTAGTTGTATATTAAATGTAATGGCTGAACAGTTGTCTTTATACACATTGCCTTAACTATCATCTATAACTCCAGTGATTATAATGGTGAAATTGTATTTGCCTGTCCTTATTGTCCAAACATCTATATTGTTGCCTTAAGCTTAAATTGTTCTTTTTTACATATATCATCTCCTGAATCCAATTTCTGATACTCTTGGTACATATTATTTGGCATCATCTACTTGTTGTGAAGCATAAAAGCAGACATTGCATCTTTTATACACACATTTTTTTCTGTGTACACAACTTTGGAATCACTATTTTTTTTATAAAGTTTTGAGAAGTAAATAACTTGGTATACAAGTAGAACAAGTGTGTATTTGTTGGCCATTGAATTTTTGAAAAATATTAAAATGCAAAGCATATATTTAATTATTTCTAAATTGCTAAGACTGGCAGAGTAATTGTTTTGAAAAAATGGTTAAATTAAGTTGTTGTTGAAACATTACATTTTCAAGTGCTTTGCATTGCATTTTGGGACTGAAAACAGCAACAACAAAAAACACTCCATCTAAATTGCATTTATTATACTTTTTTTTAATCTTTCAGATGTCATTTAAAACTTTCCAAAATTCCTTTGCTTTTTTAGCATTTAGGTGAAACAGAATTGAAATAATCTGTGACACTTGTAAGTTTAGACTACACCAATGAAAAAAGGTAAATTCAAACATTTATGTGATTTTTAACAGTTATGTCCATTTACTGAATTACTTTTTTCATCTGGTGTTAATTGAAATAAAATGCTCCGCTGGGGCGCAGCTTGATACGACCGCAGAGGTTGAACCCTGAACAGATGGGGCAAGTATGGACACAACATTCAAGCTTGATACAGCACTGAATTTGGATTGTAATTAAATATTTGACACAGCATAGGTTTCTCACACAGAATGAAAGTGGTCTAAGAACTTAAAAAATTTTAATTTACCTATTCAAACCATATCATTATTATTTGCTTTTATATATAAATCAGAAATAACCAATTTAAAATGGAAAATTTTAAAGAAAAAAAAAAAAAAAAAATCCCCCCCAAATTTTTTGAACCCCCTTATGATTCATCACCCCCCAAACTCAATCCCAGCCTTCTTTTTGTGGTATGGTACTTTGCAGTACAATTTCAGAGAGATCCATACACTTGAACACAAGTTATTGTCTGGAAACTAGAAAAATGCTGGTTTTTTGGCCCCTTTTTGGCCCCAAATTCCTAAACGTTTAGGGCAATTACCCCAAAACTCAAACCCAGCTTTCTCTTTGTGATATGGAACCTTGCAGTACAATTTCATAAAGATCCATACACTTAAACACAAGTTATTGTCCTGAAACTAGAAAAATGCTTGTTTTTTTGCCCTTTTATGGCCCCCAATTCCTAAATTTTTTAGGGAATTACCCCCAAAATCAATCCCAGCCTTCCCTTTGTGGTATGGTACCTTGCAGTACAATTTCAGAGAGATCCATACACCTGAACACAAGTTATTGTCTGGAAACTAGAAAAATGCTTATTTTTGGCCTCTTTTTTGCCCCTTATTCCTAAACTTTTTGGTCAATTACCCCCAAACTCAATTCCAGCTTTCCCTTTGTGATATGGAACCTTGTAGTACAATTTCATAAAGATCCATACACTTACACACAAGTTATTGTCATGAAACTAGAAAAATGCTTGTTTTTTGCCCCTTTTTGGCCCCTAATTCCTAAAATTTGGAGGCAATTACCCCCAAAATCAATCCCAGCATTCCCTTTGTGATATGGAACCTTGTGGTACAATGTCAGAGAGATCCATACACTTACACACAAGTTATGTCTGGAAGTTACAAAAATGCTTATTTTTGGCCCCTTTTCGGCCCCTTATTCCTTTACTGTTGGTACCATAACCCCCAAAATCAATCCCCACCTTCCTTTTTTTTTTTTGAGTGCAAAAACTAGTGTGTCTTCGGACAACGACGACGATGACGACGACGCCAACGTCATACCAATATACGACCACAAAATTTTTTTTGCGGTCGTATAAAAACTATTTTATTTATTTTCATATGGGGTGCATTCAATATCATAGCAGCTACGTAGGTCTACTTAGATTTTGACTACTGAAGGTATAGCTAGCCTAGCCGCTAAAAAGATCTAGATAGCCTAGCTATTTAGCATATCGTTCAACATAGATATCTAGGACATAGCAGCTTGTTGCTGCTATGATATTGAAGGCAACCCAGATGTTAATTGAGTTATCTTGATTTATAACTTTTTAAAACACTTAAACTATCATGAAAATAATTCTATTCTTTTATTAAAGCAACTAATACATGTATATACTTTCTGTATGCAATAAAAGCCACATCAAAATCTTACCTTTTTGCCATATTTGCGGAGTTCTCGTAGTTTCTTTGCTTTTTCTGATTTTTCTATAGATAACTGTTTATGTAATAATCTCTCCCTAACCTAAAATGTCAAGAAGTATTAAAATTAAGATACAATATACATTACTTCCTATACTTTAATGATATTCATTTTGATTGATCAAAGTAACAAAAGGATATAATATTCAAACTATACTTGCTATGAAATATTGATCTGTCACAAGTAGTTCTTATCAAACTGACTTAAGCAGAAAACTTAACATTGATAAAAGAACAGAGTTTGAATGTCCCCCGCGTTGCACATATATTATCTATCCAAGGAACAAGGGGAATAACTAAATAAAACACTTTTTTTTTGTAGCCCTAACAAGGCCATTTCCATAAATTTATATTTCCAAGGGGCATAACTCTTTTAAAAAAATGTCGATCGTCCACCATTATAGAACTTGTATGAGATATTGATGATATCAACCTAAAGTATAAGTTTTATAAAAATCTGGCAAGAATTGTAACCATCAGAGCGCTAATGAGGCCATTTTCCATAAATTTAATATTTCGAAGGGGCATAACTCTTTTAAAAAAAAGTCGATCGGCCACCATTATAAAATTTGTCCAAGATATTGCTGATATTAACCTATAGTATAAGTTTTATAAAAGTCTGGCAAGAATTATACGTGTGATAGCGCTAACGAAGCCATTTTCCAAAAATTTAATAATTCCGAGGGGCATAATTCTTTCAAAAAAGTCGATCGGCCACTATTGTAAACATGTCCGAGATATTGCTGATATTAACCTATAGTATAAGTTTTATGAAAATCTGGCAAGAATTGTACCTTTGAGAGTGCTAACAAGACAGGACGGACGCGTTATGCAGGGGACAAAAATTGCTTATTAATTCAAAGTCACTAGACCATGTCCTAGGGGCCAGTGCCTCAAAATAGTCATTAAACTGATATGTACTAATAGTAATGTGACTTCATACAAATATCATTGATCTATCACAAGTAAATCCTATCACTAAGTTAAGCAGAAAACTTAACATTGAAAATTGCTTATTAGTTGTCAGACTGATATGTACTGAGAGTAATGAAACTTTCTATTAAATATCAATGATCTATCACAAGTAGTTCCTATCAAACTAACTTAAGCAGAAAACTTAACATTGTTGATGCCACCGCTGCAGCCGTTGCCGGAAAAACAATCCCTATGTCTTGCTTTCCGCGACTTTCATCGCAAGGCACGACAAAAATGGCTGCCCAATACTACAACCTAAGAGGGTTCTGTCTAGGATTGTACAACAGACAAATTCACCAGAGGAAATTTAATAAACACTATTTGACCCCTGCAAAGATCATTCAAAGGTCAAAATATTGCTATGGTTTTCTCTCTTTAATCTTTTACCTACATACAATGATTGGAATCAATTATTTATACCCTTTTCATATGGTCATCTGTTTTAGCCATTTGTGCAAAATAATCTTCTGGCCTTTTAGTCTTTATACCCATTTTGTGGAGTTTTGGAATAGCTGTCAACACAGTAGCTTGAGCTTGTCTGTAACTGAAAACACAAAAACATGAACACTGAAGTTATTAAGGTGGTACCCAACACCTTGACTAATACTAATTTGGCTCGTTTAATTTTCCTAAAAATTTGACGAAATGTTTACTTTGACCCTTTGACAAAAATATAAAAATTTCAAATAATTTGAACCAACCACTTTATCAGAAAAATTTCACTGGTTATATAGCAGTTTGACAAACACTAATTTTGATCATTGAGAATCTTGATATTTCCTTAACAATACAACATGATTAAAACGTTTAGCTGATTTTTACAGAGTTATCTCCCTGTAGTGTTAGGTACCACCTTAAATTGTAGATGCTATAAGCCAGAATGATTTATCTATTATATCTTGATATTGTTAATTTGTATTTACAATATTTATACATTAAAACTTTCAATTCTTCTATTGGATTTAAAAAGGCAATGAACAATCTCTAATTCCATGTACAAATGACAAATATCCCAAAAGAAACTTAAACTATTAGCTATTAAAGTCCATTACGTAATATAAGAGAAAAATTTATGCAAACTAGCTGGTAAAAGCAATTCCACCAAAATGTTGAAAGTTAAAAGGTAAAAATGAAAGTAAAGTTTACAGGAAAACTAAACATCTTATGGATGTACTTGAACATGACTTATTTGAGAGCAGAAAAAGTACAATACAAATAAAATTGAATCTTTGAAACTTTACATGTATTTCTAATTTCCTCCATGATGCAAAGATAAAATGAAACTTTAAATAACTATCATAAAAGGGGGAGATTTGGTATGCCATAAAACCTGGTTCAGCATATCAAATTAATTTGCAAAGAACCTGTACCAGTTTTGGACTATGACATTCAATCACCAATAATCATTTAAAGATTTTCCAGCAGAAGGGCTGAATTGGCCAGGATATAAGGACATTGACATTTGAATAAATATTAATGTTAAACAGCAAATTTTCATGTCTGATTTATTTACCGGAGTTTCTAGAGCATTAAAATAATATGAATGTAAATTGTCACGAAAATATGTCCTTGTTCATATGTTTACCTTACATTAACAAGTAAGAAGACAAGAAATATGTTAATACTTAAAGAATTGCTTAAAATATAAAAATTCTAAATCTTACAACAACATTTCCCTCCTGAAATCATTATGTATATCATCGCCCCCTTGTATATCTGTGCCAGGCTGAGCTGGTGCTGGATCACTGGTAGTGTCAAGTCTTTCTATCCAGTCCAAATTAGACTTTAATTCTTCTAGCTTACATTTCATTCCAGCCTGCATAAGCAATAAAAATAAAGCTATGATTACAGCACTTTCTTATAAATAATATGTATGCAAATACTGAAGATAAAATGAAAATACAAATGTAGATTAGAGAAATGAAGAACTTGTAATATTGGTAGATACCTATCTATTTTTGAAGACAGTATGTTGATTGCTAGATGACTTTAATGTTGTTGGGTTCCTGTTTCATAGACATTTACCCATCATCTCCTTTACTTATTGAAACAGAAAATGTTGATGATGATCAGATGTCTTGTAATAAAGTACTCAGGAACAACGGTGACATATGACCACTATAAGAAGTAAATATTAGACGGAGAGGGGTTTCAAATTGGTTTATATGACCTCCAAACCTGAAAAGACAAACAATTAAAAATCTGTTGAGAAGATTGTACAGATCTAATATTATCTACCATGTGTACTGTAATAAAAAAAGATGACTTTTGAGGAAATAAAAGTGAAACATAATTTCAAAATTCATGTACTTTGTTTTCTTTATCATTGATTTATTAAAAATATGAATTGGTCTGCTCATTTTGATTCTCAACTATCTGCAACACCTGTACTCTGAAATCCAAATTTTTTGTTACTATCATATAGTGCTCTATGTTTAATACTATGTTTTTAATATATAATTTTCTGACTATATACCATGCCAGTTAGTTTATATTAATTCTTATTACCATTACACAACCAAATAATTTTTCTCCTTTATGAACTGTGTATCCACTCTCAACATAATAGATAAATGGGGAATGTGTCCATGGGACACAGATGATGCCCCCGCTTGCATATCATATAAAGTTATAAAGGGACATAACTGACAAACGGTAAAAGTGACGCTGCCCAAATTTGTACTTGATCTGAGTTTTGAGGTAATAAGTATTGTGTATAAGTTTCATAACATTTGGTTGTGGCAAACTTAAGTTGGAGAACGGACACGAAAAATTCAGCAATTTTTCCATTTGTAAAGGGGCATAACTCTAGAACAGTAAATGTGACAACACCAAAATTCAAACTTGATCTGTGTTTTGTGGTAATACACATTGCGTATAAGTTTCATAACATTTGGCAAACTAAAGTTAAGAGAACGGAAACCAACTTTGGGACGTACGTACATACATACATACCGTTTTACGGACAGATAAGGGTAAAACTTAATGCCCCCTACGCTACGGCGGGGGCATAAAAATGAAACTTACCACATCATTGATATAATGTTTTTCTATACTGGCTGGTAGAGCTACATTTAGTCCTGGTTTCAGCTTACCGGAACTGAAGTCTTGTTGCAACTGCAAGAATATATAACATTCATAAATCTATTTCTGATGACAGTTAATGTTAATAGAAAGGTTTTGCCGTCCTTAAGCCTGTGAGTTTTGAACTCATTTTATATTTCATAGGAGCAGTACATGAAGTTTACTAAAACATTTACTCAAAATTTGATGTAAAAAATCTCGCGTTTGGCGGAACCTTTGGCCTCGTTCTATTGAAGTGTGCTCAGGAACAATGTAACAAAAGTTTGTATGAAAAAGAAGAATAATTACGGTTATAGGACTATAGTCTGAAACTAATAAAATATCCATTTGAATTTCACTTACATATTAAGGGCAAACAATACAGTTACATGGGACGTAATGACAGCACTGATATTCAAATACTAAAATGTTATTATATCACGACTTCTAACTGTGCCATTTTGTGAAAAGATGCATTTAATCATTCACTTGAAAATGAGTACATGACACCAAGACAGTTGAGAATAAAATGCTCCGCTGGGCACAGCTTGATATGACCACAGAGGTCGAACCCTGAACAGTTGGGACAAGCATAGGTTTCTGACATACATGTAGAATGAATGTGGTCAAAGAACTGAAAAACTTGAAATTGGACTTTTACCTATAATGGTCAAATATCCAAAATCTAAATACATGGTTAGATTCAGTATATCCAAGTACACCAAGAATTTAATTTTTTTTTTATTAATGGCCAATATTAACTAAGTTTTTAAAAGGGTTCCCTTCATCAAAATATAAATATATATATTTAGCATTCTGAAAATTAATTTATACTGAATAACAAACAAACCTACCACAAAGTTCTTTAAAAAAATGAAAAAAAAAAATGAAAAAAAAAATTTGAAAGTTTCATTCCTTAAAAAACTGGAATATAAAACTTACCAGTAATAATTTTTCAAAATATCTAATAATGAAGAGTAAATTTCAAACTATATTTATACAGAATTTCTTCTCTAAAATAAGTTTTGGTGCTGAATCTATTTTCAACTATAACTCTACTTACAATTTCTATCAATTGTGAAATACAGAGCTTGGATTGTGATTAAATGTTTGACATAGCATAGTTCCTGACACAGAATGAATGTGGTCTAAGAACTTAAAAATTTTTAATTGGACATTTACCTATTATGTTCCAATATCCAAAATCTAAATACACGGTTAGAATCAGCATATCAAAGAACCCAAAGAATTCAATTTTTGATAAAATCAAACAAAGTTTCATTTTGGACCCTTTGGACCTTAATGTGGACCAATTTGATAACGGGGCCCAAAATCCGAAATTTACATACACTCTTAGATTCAGCATATTAAAGAACCCCAATAATTCAAGACTTTGAATTAAATCACATTGAAATTGGTCAAAAAATAAGCATTTTATACAAAGTATTAGAAAGTATTGTTTTTGGCCCTTTTTTCCTAAACAGTTAGGGCCATAACCCCCTGAATCAATCCAAATCTTCCTTTTTTGGTATGGAACCTTGTGGTAAAATTTCATAGAGATCCATAGACTTATACTCAAGTTATTGTCTGGAAACCAGAACATCATACTTTTTTGGCCCTTTATTCCTAAAATGGTTTGGGCCATAACCCCCAAAAGCAATCCCAACCTTCCTTTTGAAGTATGGAACAGCAAAAATTATGCATTAAACAGACATTCACCAGTCATGTCTACTTTGACTGTCCATGGCATTAAAACACTAAATCCCTGGGACGTGTTTTAATTGATCTTAGTCTCTGATGAGTGATTTTTTATTATTAATAGTTTTGGGCTTTTCACTAGCTTTCAGTAACTGTGAGTATTCTCAAATCTTACTTTCATGTTAATTTGACCTGTTGACACAATTTGTAATACATTTTAGTTATTCAATGTTTACTTATTTGGTGTTATATCTCGTCTTACTAGTTTTAAAATGTACCACCTTTGATAAGTATTTAGTATGACGATAAATTTTCACTTCTGTACTTGTACCGTGAACAACAAATTTATTTATTTTGAAAAAATATCTCCGTACTCCCAACACCAAAATTATTATATTTAAATTTACCTGTGTACATTATTTTATTTAATGCCATTTTGTCCCAGGTTAGAGTTGTCTTTTTTGACATTATTCTACATCTTTTTAATTAATATTGTATCTATACTGTGTCATAGAATAAACTTATTTGTTCAGTGTATGTTTACCTGTTTTTGTTTATATGTCTTTTTGATCGAGATAAGCCATTTCAATTGAAATTTTATAGTGTGTCTTTTTATGTTGTAATGTTATACTACTGTTTCAGGTTAGGATGAAGGTTGGCGTCTGTTTAAACTTTTTAACCCGCTGCATTTGTATGCACCTGTCCTAAGTCAGGAGCCTGTTGTTCAGTGGTTGTAGTTTGTTGATGTGGTTCATAAGTGTTTCTCGTTTTTTTTATAGATTAGACTATTGGTTTCGAACTTTTCCTGTTTAAATTGTTTTACACTAGTCATTTTGGGCCCTTTATAACTTGTTGTTCAGTGTGAGCCAAGGCTCCGTGTTGAAGGCTGTACTTTGACCTATAATTGTTTACTGTTTACACATTGTGACTTGAATGGAGAGTTGTCTCACTGGCACTCATACCACATATACTTATTTATATTCACAGCTTAGCAAGTTGTGTGATACTCAAGTATATTTAAGTAATGTATAATCTTTATACCAAATTTATTAGTTTATTTATTGATAAACCTGTCATAAAAAATTGATACACCAGTCATAAAAAAAAAAATAGTGCTGTTCTGTTTCTTCATGAAATCTCTTTCAATCATTTTACTCAGCCAAAGATATTTTTTTCAATGTAGAGAAAGTCTTTTCTGAAACTTTGTTTTCGTTTCAATTTAGCCAAACTTTCATCAGGCCATGGGACAAGGAAAAGACAGTGTGGATGATGTCATGTAGTCTAATATGTCACTCTCAAAAGGGAGTTGTTGCCTTCCCTATAAGGGAATCGATTTCTTTCATTTCTCTGTGCTTCAAGGTTCTGGTCTGTTGTCTGATAATTCAATAGGTTATACAACTTAGGCACTAACATTGTCTTCATCTTACCTCTCAGAGGGCAAAGAACATTTTAAAAAGTGGTGTCTTTTGTTTATCAAAGATGCAATCTTTGAGCAAGGGATTGATGATATAGAAATCCTAATAGAGACCCAGTGTGCTGATTTTTTTTGGCTTCACCTGGACCTGCAACCAGAAGTAGTCGTTCCCTAAGCGTATTTCAATAATAAACATGAACAGTAGACTGCAGTTATATGCCTGCTGGTTGACACTTTTTTTTGAAGAATTAGGCCTCTGTATCGTGTGTCCCAGACATTGAAGTGAAGGCCCCCTCCAGAAAAACCAGTTTTATCCGATTTGAATTTTCAAGGTTTGTTTATGGGCTAAAACTGCACCTTAAACCTCTGAAACATGACAATAAATAGCCTTAGTTTGAGGGAACATGCATCAATTTTAAAATACATACCATACAGTTGACCTCTAAAAGTATGGAGAGCCATAGGAACAAAAAAAAAAACAGTACTTTGGGTACAGGCCCCTTTGCACATGTTGCATGTTAAAGGTTAATAATTGATTCTTTAAGGAACTTGTCAATACAGATCCGAAAATCATTGAAAATTCTTAATTTGAATTAATTGAAACACGTGAACCTCCCGACGGGAGTACAATAATCCTGTTTTCAGGGGTCTACTCCAAACCTCCTGTGTATAAAAAATATCATGAATGAAAAATTTTAGGCACATTTTTTACTGCGATGTTTACAATTGTTTGTTGTTGAAGATGTAAAAACCAGAGTGTATCAAACGTATCCGGTGTAACTGACATTACCTGATTATGCAACATGTTGAGATTTTGACCTGGCCAGCGGCTAATTAACAAGGGATAATAATTTGATTGAACAATATTATAAACAGGTGATAGGATATTAAATTCTTGATATGGCTTCTGTCTATGGCACACATCGATCGATACCAGCATTGATAGAAAAGTGGAAAGTTGTTTTCAAAACATCCAACAGAAGGTTTTGATGCCAAAAAAACATTTTATAAACTTTCAACTCAGCAAAGAAATACTAGCTTTTTCACACTCTAATGTGGACATGAAGGACCTTCAGCATGCTAAAGAAGATCCAATCCTAGGACATAACGGTATACAATAGTTTCAGTCCTAACTGACAGCAGACAAACATTGACTCAATTACAATTCACAGCCTCCTAACAACTACAAAACTGTTACCAGCATTAGGATTACTTTAGTACGAAGTCAAGTGTATTAAACTAAAGGCAGCCAAGTCAGCTTGTACTTCTTACATGACCCAGTGTTCCAAGACCAGTGCTTCAGTTCTTAATAACATTTGTCACTATAATATAGACAGTGATACTATAAACTAATATATTTTACAGCATTTGAAATAAAAATGTCTTAAGTTTTCTAGCAAAATGACTTTCTTAATGCTTAAAAACTATTCATAACTATTGTTTGTTAACATTTCATATATTTATCATTTTATAAATGTATAGCATATTTCATTCTTATATATCTATGCCAATGACATTGAATACAAATAAATAAGATGGAGGCATGAATAAAACACTATACTTTGATGTTTTCTTAGTACTCAAAGAAAAGGTTAAATCAATGTACTTTATTTATGAGCAGTCAACAATCAAAAACAAAACAAGAAACAGAATCTTCTCAATATTTCTTTTAAGTGATATCAATCAAGCAAAGAGGCTACACTTTAAAAAACAAATTTTACATCAGACGGTTACATTTACCACAAAAATTATGTCGATAAAAACCCTCCTGATCAGAGGTCTTAACTCCTGACCAAAATTTCCTAATCTCCTGATCTGAGTTTCACAGTCCATCACATGTATGAATTGAGGTACACAGCTACATGTAGAACCTTTTTTCATATGTTAAACCAAGGATTTGTATAGTTAACTAGGATTTGTATAGTTAACTATACAAATCCTTGGTTAAACCCTAATACATGAACTTGAAGGAATGCAAAATATTAGACTGCAATTATCCATCTTTTTTTAGCCCACCTTGTTTTGGTATATTTTTCAAAATTAATTACACACATCACTCTGGCATAGTATGGTGCAATATTTCGCAACAATTACGACTTTATAAATGATCCATTTGAGTCCATATCAGTAGCTGAATTGGTACATCACCGTCATTTATTTTAAATGCATCAATAGTTTTTAAAGTAATTACATCAACTGGTAGATTATTCCAATCAATTATTATGGTTGTAAAAATTCTCAATTCAAAGTACTAATCTGGGACTATTATACAAATAAGTCCTTAGGCTTAGTATAATCAGAGACATATATACACATATATATGTCTCTGGTATAATAGTCCCAGTACTAATGCAGAAACTTGAACAGTGTTAAATTTAAGTTGAAAAAATTCATAGATATTTTTATAGCTCAATCGAGCTTATATAGCCAAATCAAGCTACATAAACTCAAAATTGAGTGGGTGAACAGGGGGTAAGGGAACATTGGAATGAGGGGGCAGGAAGCAGGAGGGGAGTATACATTTTACATTAGGGATATAATTTCTGGGAAAGAAATTTTTACCGAATTTCGTTTGGGAAATAGGAGAAAAGTTTGAGTAGGATGGATGGAAATGGGAGTCGTGGAAGGGAAGTGTGGATCAGGGACTGCCCTGTCCAAACCCTAAAAATTATAATTTGTAAATACGCGAAGGTTTGAACCAACCTGGGACGAAACCTCAAACCGTCAAGCATACCGTACTGTGAGTCTACATTGTGTATGTTCCCTCAACTTTTACCGTCATCATTTGTGATAAACAGCAGAACTTTACCTGAGTATCAGAATCTATACTCTCTGAATCGGAAGAATCTAGGTCTGACATTTTTCAATGAAAAAAAAAACAAAAAACACGTGTGTCGAAGAAAAACAATTAACAAGTAATATCCAGACCAATTGAGGAAGACATGACTATATTACGGAAATCTGGGACGGTCAAATCAATATCAGATTATAGGTCTCTATGGACTCCTTACTGTGCAATCAGTGGTAAAGATGAACCGCTGGAATATGTCACTATTTGAAGATTCATAATATATGATAAGGGCGAGACAATCCTAGTTGTAAATGCATCAGATAATCATATTTTTGTTAAATCCATTTAACCCCATTTTTTACGGCTTGTAATCTTCAACATATTTAAGCTGGGACATAATGTATTGACGTTAATAGTCCCAGATTGATGTTAAGAAGTATTATGTAGATGGTAGTGTAATTTGATCTTATATAGCGTAGTCAATACAGTGGCGGATCCAGTAATTTTCATAAAGGGGGGAGCACTGACTGCCATAAGAGGGGGTCCGCTTAGTCATGATTCAGTGATTCCCTAAATAATCATCCAAATGTATCCCACAAAAGGGGGGACCGGGCACCCTGCCCTCCCCCCCCCCAAAAAAAATCTGCCTCTGCAAGAGGTAAATTTTTGCTTGCTAAAACATATATGATAGGGTATGTATTTTTAAACATTCAACAAAATATAAGAAAAGGGTGGGGTAACTGGATGTCTTAGCTGCTCACCCTACCACAAAAGGAGTCAAGTCCCCTCCCTTTCTTCTGCGAGTGAAATGCAGTCAAAAATAGTCTCGCTGAAATAGAGCAATATTGTATTATACTTCAGGATGTCATATTTTAAAACACACGCTCTCCAAATAAAACTACCAAACTACAGAACTTTCGACAGTCGATATATTACAAGGTTACCGTATCATTTTTATCAAATATTATAAATGACTATATGTATGTCCTTCTGAACTCGTATTCAGATCACTACTGTAATATGCAGGCACAGCTTCGGATCCTAGTTGCACTAACTCAGAAAACGAATTAAAAAAAGTACAAAAACGAGCAGCTAGTTTTACAACAATTGGCTGCTTCATAGAAGATGGCTCCATGACCAAAATATTAAAAGACCTACACTGAATATCACTTAAAGATGGAAGGAGGGAAACAGAATTATTGTGTTGCACAAAGGACTTAATGGTAAAGCAAACACCAGACATTGTATCAAACACCAGGAACAGTCGAAACAGAGTGATGCACAACATTAATTATACATACCAAACGTAAGATCATATTCATACAAATGCAGCTTCATACCGAACACACAGTGACCGAACACCACCGGAGATTGGAATATTTTAGAGACACAACAATCAATTATACATACCACACGTAAGATCAGATTCATACAAATGTAGCTTCATTTTGGAAAAATCTGCACTCTCAAAAGACAGTTACTCATCACTAACTGGTATTATTAAAATGACACATGTGCTCGGCATTAACGTCATTTTAAATTGATGAATATGAACCCTTAAATGTTTATTACACCAAACCCACCCGAAAAATAAATTGATAACTTGGTCTACACTACTTTTTCCACAGCTTAACCTTGATTTTGAACCAAGTTTGGTTCAGTATAAGCCGTACACATACAAGTCTGCCGGAATGATCAAACCAACTATCCATGAAATACTTTGAAACGGACTTAAAAAGAAATGTAGTTGTTATTGTGTAATATTCATACCCCTTCCCTTTTTGAAAAAAAATCTCGATTTATTTGCAATGTAAAATGTAACAATGACCATTGCTCAATGTTCGGCTTTTTATTAGGGTTTGGATTGGGTTAACAGTCAAAAAAGAGAATAATTGGCTCAAAATAAAGAATAGACAAATGAAGAACTCTTATTTCAGACCCTTATTTATTCGGCCGTTGTATTTTAAAATAAGATTATCGAGCAAATTATGACCTATGACATAATTTGTTGAAAATAACACATGCTTTAGGTGTTCTTATATAAATGACAAGATTTAGATCGAGTTACATATATATCCCCCACAACTGAACACGAACACATATCCATTTTTTTGGCAAGACACTGTTAGGGCCGCGCCATCACTGACCTCAAATACAGGATCAGCGCCTAGCTAGGACCTGATTTGTTTAAAATCTAAAAATAAGGAGATATTGTATGATTGCTAATTAGACAAGCTTCCAAAGGACAAGGATTAAACAACTACAGATCACCGTACGGCCTCCAACAATGATGTAAACTCATATACCGTATAGCTGGTATAATTAATTAGCTATTAAAGACCCTGGCATTACAAAATGATAACCAATTTAAGTGAGAAAACCAACAAAACTTTATTATTGTAGACATCAACCAAAGACAACCGCTGGATTACAGGCTCCTGGCTTGTGCCACGCAGACAAATACATAATCTGACAGGGTTTACATGTTTGCTATCGCTTGTAAAGCAAAAGAGTGTGCAATGAAGTACTAGTTCCACATGACAAATTTTCATGATTATTGATAATTCTATCTGGGACCAGGAGTTTTTTTTGTGAAACCGACTCCAGAGATCTAATCTGGGACATTGAATTATTGATTAGTATACTTTTCCTAGATTATATTTTGTCCCCGTCTATGAAATAATATTCAGAGAAGGACTCGTGACAATTTTCCATTATGAAATTTCGTTCTGATATATATTGACGATAATTAATAGTTTGATGGTAATCAAATTTTGTATCGTCAAAGGGAGGTTATATAAATTCTTTTTGGACAATGACATCGTTAATTTTATTGTATTATTGATTAAAAAAACCAAAGTTAAATAGATACAGTTATACTCATAAATTAATGCCTTTGTGACAATACTTTAATTATGTTAAAAAATATAGGTGTTTTCTATATAAATGTTTGTGTACTGCAGACAAGAATTATTTGATACAGCTTCCACGATTTTACACATACTTTTCATGGACATATCAAAGAATCCGATTATCATTGGGGACATTATTTTATGTTACACGAGAAATATTTTACTGATAGGCTAAATTAGAGTAATAACTTTGCAATTTCAATTAAACCTTTAAAATGAAAGTAGAAGGGAAGGGGTTGGTGTGCTTAAATTTTGCACTTTAATTAAAATATGACCATTGTGTTTGCATGACAAATATTTGTAACATTTTGCGCAATCCCAAATTCTTTTATTATCATAACTGTGTTTATCGAACATTGTCCTATATTTTAGCCTATCCCACAGTTACAGTGTCATACTGGTATCTGAATTCATTTATTTGATATAATAATTTGCAATAGTATTTAAGTTAGGTACCAGTCACTGAATTGCGCAATAACAAAACAAATGGAATGAATTACGAGACATTTGTAGCATGGTATTATTTACAATTAGATAAAAGTAAGTAATAAAAGACTATCAGTATAATGAATGAATAACAAAAGAGTTCCGTGATCCCATTTTTAATAATTTGAAAGTTGTTAATAATAAGAATATTGAGTCGGGATCCGTAAATACTTTATTTCCATTCAAATTCAGGTGTTCAGGTATCATTCATTTATGATACACAAAAATAAGTTAAAAATTGTAGTTTTCATACAAACTAAATTCACCTTTTAAAGAGCTACACAAATAAAGTCAGTTTCAAGATCCACAAATTGAACAAACTTTAAAATAAACATTAAACGTGGGAAAATAGTAATAAAGTGCTTATGCTGATTCCGTCCGTAGCCGCCAAGTTCATTTCATGAGACTAAGCGTTTTGATGTGTATGACGAAATAAGAAGTCACATGTCGTTATGTCGTGGGTGCACGAGTGTTATGAGTATATATTTAATGATTACTCCTTTTTATAAATGCGACTACTTTTTTACCCATCTTAAAATAGAAATGGAAATATCCAGAATATGAGGTGCGTACAATATTCCAATGACTTCAAAGTCTACAATTTCCCCAAATTAGTCACACGAATAGTGATATACTTGAACTTTATGTAATGTACCAAAATAAGTACAAATAAAACTATCCCAACATTGGCCGTCAGCCTAAAATGATCATTAGCTGTACATAGCCATCATGGGAAAGCCATCAGATGTACAGAAGGTAAGAAAAATCGTGAAAATACTTATTTTCTGTTTGTAAAATAAAAAAAAAAACATTCAGGTTTTATATTAAGACAATTAGTAGTTTTTGGGTAGTATTCTCTTACATACTCACCAAGAGAAAGAGATCACACGAGACTTATAATAGTGTTAAATGAATTTTTGTGAAGTTTTTTTAATATACGTTTTGTTTTTTTGTAGACTAGAAGTTGTGAACAATACAAATGTGAATCATTAATAGAGCAACACAAGACTTTATATGAGCTACCAGATCCAGAGACTCATGGAATATTCGTCATCAAAGAGGATGGAATTATCATATATGTCGGACAATCGGGTGACTGTATGCGTGAAAGAATGCTGAATCATCTTTCGGGGTACGATGCCCAAAATGTAGGAAAATATTTAAAGACAATGACCAAGGAATATAGACAGGAACATGTAACTGTTGGGTGGGCGGCTGTAGATAATCCAAAATTTGAAGAACATCACTATTTGTCTTGTCTTGCTGAAAAGCAGAAAACATGGCCAAAGTGTAATCTTAAGCGCGGAAGACCACCTGCGAGATCTCGATTGGAATCAAAGCACCAGTCAGAGAATTAATGATGTCATCACACCATTTAATAACATGTGACATAAGGTTTTGCATATATGGAGAAAAAGACACACACATAACATAATGACAAAAACTATGGAATACGTAGGTTTCTAATGTCTGCTATTGGAAACTAATATCTGTGTTCTATCAATGACTACATATTTATGGATCTGTGACAATATTTATAATGATAAAGTGCATGGAAAGAATTGTACATATTGTACTGTTATCTATATTGGTAAATAAGAAAATCTTGTAGTTACACTACGGAAATGCTGTCAATCATATGACTGGTCTTACAAATTTTACCACAACAAAATAAACTCATTTTGAAGAGATTTTGAAAATGACCAAAGCACACAGACATTATGTGTTTTTAAAACACAAAATATTTGCAATCTCATACCCGGTTG